AGTCCGGCTGCCCTTTCAATGAAGAATTCGCCAAAATTGCAGTTCCTCAAGTGTCCACAAGAAGGTGTCTCCCAAAGCGAGTCAGTCTACGTTGAGCCTCATGTTAACATGTCAAACAGCAGAAATTAGGGTGACCATATTCTGAATCCCCAAAAAGAGGACACAACTACACTGGGGCGGCGTCATGGAGTCAGGCGTAGTTAATTTTGAGAGTTTTACGGGTCGGATCAAGTGTTTTTTATGCACTTCTAATTCAGTAAGTCCACACGACACAAACTCAAAACTTCAAAACATTTGAAGAACTTTACAAACTCCCCAGACAAAGCCGGATAAGGCCGGACAGGCTGGACAGCTCCCACAAAAGAGGACATGTCCGGGTAAAAGAGGTCACCCTAGCTCAAATAACCACATTTACAGTTCTGGTATTAAAACAGTTTAAATTTCAGTGGCTCATTTCTTTCAGAACTTATCCTGGTTTAAACTTACCTAAGTGTTGATAAATTTGGAGTGTAGCCTCTTTGAGTGACAGGTGGAGACTACTTGCTGAGTACTAGGTGTAACCTCAGCTAACTCGGTCACTGAACTTCACCTATGGAGAGATTTTGATGCAAATATCAGACAAATAATGTGTTTTATGGTCTGCTTTATTAAACTTACCATCCAACAATTTTATCTGTGTAAAAATGTTTTATCTGTGTTTTTGCACTGAGTAGAAAATCAGTCAGTACACTAATGTAGTTTTAAAAAATAGAATTGTTGTGTGAATTTAAGCAAAAAATGACTTTTAAAACACACATGAGCATGTTAATCCAACTGAAATTACCCCAGATCAAATTTCTCCCAGTCTGACGAACAAACACTGATAATACAGGTGGAGATTAGGGATTCACTTGCATGTTTTACCAAGCAAAGTCCTGTGTGTAGAGTTTTTCAATCTGAAACTGTCCAACAGAAAACAAGTCCTTTTGCTAACCATGCTCCGTAATCAGCAATGAGTGCAAAATGTCGTATTAAATAAGGATATTTTCAAGGCAGGTGCCGGATATCGACTCAGTTTTTTTCAAAGATATTCTGGACCAAACACAGACCTCATTATTAAGAAATTACTAATCTCATGGTTGATCATCTTTTTTTATTCTGGAGGTCATAAGGACTCATCATGATAAGACTAAGACGGTTTACGAATAGCTGAAAACTCCTAACAAGTCAAAATCATGGAGCCTTGTGACTCAATGATGTCAATAATCTCCCTCCCTGCTCCAGATCCACCCTCACTTTTTTTTCACTCCCAGATCCAGAAAACTTGGTAAAAAATGCCAAACTTTGGAGCGATTGAGTCATGCCAGGCTGGCTGCGTCCACTTTTCTATGCAGTCTGTGTGGTTGACAGCATGATTAAGCAGTATTTTTCAGTAATTTTTAAAAGTTTAGCATCCTCTAACCAGTGAAATGACAGGAACATTTACTTGCATTTACAAAGCCTCTTGGCTCAAGCAGCGTTACAGTCAAGAAAATGACTTTGACCTGAAATCTTCCATACCATCCTGTGCTGATGTTTGGTTAAGGTCAGGATCAGGGAGTGTATGTCGAACCAGCCTGAGCTGATGGGAATGTAAACCTGGTCTGTCATTAGACGCTGAGCAGACGCTGAGCCTCCTCCTACTAACATGTCAGCAGAGAAAACACTGCTGACCTGTGGGGTTAATTCAAGGTGAGGTTGGTGGTCTGTCTCCATAACGACAGGAAATAAGACGGCGTCCCTGCACGCATCGTGTTGATGCTTCAGCATATAGTGACTGTAACATGAAGCTGAGTCCAAACAGGAAGAGGATCAGCAGCAGACAAGGACGGGACCCTCAGAGAGCTGCAGGCAGCTTAACATTCAGACCTTTCCCAGCACCCCTGCCTCCCTTTGCAGCACCCCCCACAGAGACCCCCATCAGTCAGCAGGTCATCTAAACCTCCATCAGGACAGATTACTGAGAGCTTTGTGCTGTTAAACAGAGTAAACATCAGAGACAGGAGATGTTCAGAGGGACACAATGCTGCACACGCTCTTATCTGTTCAGACGTGATTTACTCTTAATCTGACTCTCACTGTGAACCGAAGTTTGTTCCTCTCATCACTCATGAAGCTTATGCAGGTTTGGTTTTTGGTTTGGATAATGACGCCAACCCGGTAGTGGTTTTTGGAAAAATAGACATGTTTATATAGGACTGGGCAATAAACCAAAAATTTACCGATAGCGAAATGAACGACAATAATTGGCATGGGCATAATTTTGCCCATGTCGGTATATTCAGTGACAAAAAAATGAATAAATAACAGTTGGTTTTGGATGTGTGTAGGTAGGCTATGTTCTCAAGTTGTATGTGTCTGGAGCGGCGGCTGAAGTAGACGAAGTTAATGTGGGAGGGGATGAGCAACCATGTGACAAAAACAATCTTGCTTTGGTGCAGTTTGAAGTTGTTTTTCTGTTTTCAGGTGTTTGCTGCTGTATCCTGACTGTACAGGTCAAATTATACCTTACTTGAGATTTTACATCCCAGAGGTTACAAGAGGTCATACGTAGTAAAATGTTTTAGGTGTGAGGTGAAACCACATTCCTCCAAAATGTAACCCTGTAGGAAGAATGTGAATTGACAGCAGTGTCTTCAAGTGGAGCTACATTCACTTTAAGGCTATTTCAGTTAAACACATGATATAAAAGTTAGAATTAAGACCTTCAAATGGGAGTTTTCTGTAATTATATTAAAGCTGTATGTTTTCAGCTCTCCTGATGGGGTCTGATGTGAAGGAGGAGGAGGATATTGTGACAAATTGAAGGCCTGTTTTTGCTCTCAGCTCCTTGAACATGATCTTCCTAGTTTCCTAAACACAAGCATTGTTCACAGGGACAAGCCACAACTTGTTCCCCAATGCAGAGGCTGATTATAAGGTTCCTTTTCTGTCCAAGGTGCTTTCTGTGTGAGGTCTGTGATAGGTGTCCCGGACGAGTGTTGAAGGAATGTGGCAGGATGACATCTGAGGCCTGTTTTCAGATACAAAACGTCTCCAAAACACATCCTCAGTGAGGTCTAGAGAAACTTAATGATCCCTGCAGAGAAATGAGAAATTAGGAATGGAAACAGGTCATAATGTATAAGAACAGGAACAATTTAAAGACCCCTGAGGTTACTATTTTACAGGCTGTTTGTCTTGTACTGCTTTTAATTATTATCCTAACTCCTGCAGAGGCTGAGTGTTTTCTATAGTGGTAAGACTCATGCAAGGGTTGAGTCCATAAAGAGGTTAAAGGTCACTCAGAAACATCATGCTGTTACTAGAGAGAGCTGGTTTTGCCGGAGGGGAAGGCCATTATTTGCTTGTAATGAACATATTTCCTGCAAACTGAGCGTAGGACAAGTTACAGAGTCTATAAATACAGATGTGGGACATGCCTGAAGCTGAGGGAAAACTCTGATTATCGCTGCGCGCTCTGTATAATTACAAAAACAATGAACTGTACTGTGCAGTTATTGTCATAAACATTCAGGGTTGGGGTGTGATTACATCAGCGTGTATTCATGCGCCTGCTTGTAGACCGACCTGAAAGTGCTGGTGTCGGCTTTTCTTCAAGATAAGACACTTGAAATAATCAGGTAATTGATGATGGGGGTGGGGTGGGGTGGGGGAAGGGGAGTTACTTTTGAGAATAAAATCTTATTAAAGTAATTACTTAGGAGAACAAAGTCATAGTTAAGTAATCACTTACCAGAGTAAAGTCAGAATAAAGTAGGATGACAGTTGTTGAAATGAGAGCCATGGAGCATTTTCGTAAAAATGTACTTTAGTTTAAGTTTTTCAAACAAGAATGTCTTGGAAAATTAGCACTACATTATCATAAGTATCATAATTTCTTAAAACTTTATTCTCCTAAATATCTACTTTATTACAACTTTAGTCTCGTAAGTAATGATTTTACCGTGATTTTTTTTCTTGTAATTACTTCATTATGATTTTATTATGACTTGATTCTTGTAATGATTTTACTATGACTATATTCTTGTAAGTAATAAATTTATTATGACTTTATTCCCGTAAGTAATGATTTTCTTACGACTTTATTTTCATACATAATGATTTTATTATGACTTTATTATCATAAATAATTACTTGATTACAACTTTATTCTTGTAAGTAATTACTTTATTACGACTACATTCCCTTAAGTATGGATTTTATTATGACGTCATTCTCATTAGTGATGATTTTATTTTCGTAAATTAATGATCTTAATCTTGAAGTCTAATTTTTTTTTCTTAATGTGGCCCTAATATACTGTCGTAACTTATTTATTTAGTCATTTATTCATTCTCTTTATCATTAATTATTTTTTTAGGTATATTATTTGGTTGTTTTGTTTATGTTTTGATTATCATTATGATTATTGTTATTATTATTATTAACTGGAAGCAGGTAAATGAATTATTGATGATTTGTGCAAGGTGAAGGGGTGGGATCAGACAAGTTTCGACTTCCTCCTACTCCATTTTGAAATGCAAATGACAAAATTATTGGACTCTGGTTTTGTTTTCTTTCTGGCTTTTTAATTTTTTGTGTTTGTGTCTTTAATTTGTACTATGTTTAATTGTTGTTCATGTTCAAATAAAAGCTATAAATAAAATTAACTGATGTGTAAATGTTTTTTCATAATTAAAACCGTTTTAGAAAAATAATCGTTTGTTATTTTCACTAACATTAGTGGTGCTAAGGGGCAAAACTGACATTATTTCAAGCAGCTTATCTGTCAAACTGACATTTCTTCATCCGTCCTTTTCAGATCCTGACCAATCATGGGCTCAAGTGAAGTTTCAACTTCACACCCCGTGAGGAAAATGTAGCTTCATCTCAAGAGAAAGAAATCCTTTCAATTCCCCAAACTCTCCTGTTGAAGTGTCTTTCATTTGGAGCCCGTCCTCAAGGAGACACCATCCTTCGTCTGCCTGTGAGTGACAGCGATGGCTTCACAGGGTCAAAAGCTCACCTGGATTTTGCTCCAAGCACTCCTGCTGGGATCAACCTGCTCCGTTCACGGTTCCCTCGTGAAAGTCAACAAAGGTTTAAAGGTGAAACGGGGTCAGTCGGCCTACCTGCAGGAGGGTGACTTGCAGTTCCAGATCCCCCGTCAGAAGGATGCATGCAAGGTGGAGGTGGTGCTTAATGAGCCGATAACTCAACGAGTGGGGAAACTCATGCCCGAGGTAAGAGAAAGATCCTCCTACAGTGAAACTCTGGGTTTGTTTAAACAAAACCGGATAGTTTGAGTGTATGCAGAGTTCACTTACAGCTCTGTTTGAGAGCTGATGTGATGAAAAACCATGAATAATGCTATCAGTATTTTAGTAATGGTGTCAAAAAAACAAGGCTTTTTCTTTTTTTGTCACCTCTCTCTTTGATCATATCATGTTCCTACAAACATTTTAATGTGTGTAGAGATTTAATACTCAAAAAAAGCTTATAAACCTGTCTGGTTTAGCTAGGGCTGGGCGATAAACTGAAAATTTCCAGATACTGAAATTTACAACAATAACCAACACCATTTTGCCCATGTCAATATATTCAGGGTCAAAAAGATAATAAAAGTGGGTTTTGGATGTGTATGTAGGCTATGGTGTCATGTCCCTTAAGACGCTGTCCTACGTCAGAGATGTGACTCCACCCCATCCAGTCCGTAACAAAGAGGGAAAGACGGACGAGAAGATGGAGGACAGTTGAAAAGTTATAGAGGCTGGAGTGGTGCCTGAAGTACATGAAGTTAATGTGGGAGGGGTGAGCAGCTTGTGGAGTAGTTATTGTCCATTTATCATTATCGAGGTGAACTGCTCAATATATCGTGATATTGATATGAGGCCATATCGCCCAGCCCTAGGTTTAGTCCAAGTTAACACAGACAGTCTTTTCTAAACCTAAAACCAATAAAAACAGTTGGGAAATTGTAGCTTGAGCCCATATGTGACTAAAATCAGGACTTTTCTGTTTGTGTCTTTGGCTTCTTCTGAGACAGCAGCCTCATGTTTGCAGAAATCATTTTTGTATTTTTTTAATGTTTTAATAAAGGCAAAAGCAGATATAAACAGCACATAGAAAAACAGAAAAATAGCAGCTAATTTATGGATGCAGAGAAGTCTTTTTGACTCAACATGAGAGCAAAAATCCAGAAAAAAAACAAGATTTTGTATTGTAAATAAAACCTTACAGTCATAATGATAAACTGGTATTAACCTTGAAATATGTCATCTATAGGAAAAAACACATTGGCTATCATGGTTTAGTCATTTGTTGGAGACAGTAGGGTTTACAGTGAAAATCCTTGTTGGATTTAGTCATCCTGTGCAGCCTTGTCTTCTGCTGAGCAGAGACAGAGAGGTATTTCTCAGAGGGAAAATAGTCCAGACATCGCTCTCTACATCTTCCTTTGTTTTCTCAGCAGACAGGCAGCCTCCTCTCTAATGACTCAGTGCTGACAGACACCGTCGTCTGTTGAACGTCCAGGATGAGCCATTTATCATACTTAACTGTAGAAAAATAAAGTTGGAGGACTGGGCTTCAAATGTACACTTTTACATCAGCAGGTCAAAGTTTGAGCTTTTCTCACAACCTGTTTGATGAGTTTGTTAGATTATTTTGAACCTGAGGTGCTTCATGCACGGCTCTTATTGCAGCTTTAGCCTAGATCACATAGATTTAACCCTAAACCTAGGGCTTCATGTATAAACCATGCATATTTTCTACTAAACTGAAGCTGAAATACCCTCTCTGAGAGAAAAATGCAGAATTGAAACCTGTTTGGTTAGAAGAGAACTGCTCTTAGTGTTTTTTTCCATCTTATTCCAGGTATTTGATTGTCACTATCTGGCAGATGAGATAAAATATGTCCATAATGGCTGTCCGCTGTTGAAGGAGGACACTATCAAGCTACGACTCTACAGGTACAGCATGTGTAAACTTTACTACGCCAACTCATCTCCTTAAATCTCCTCATCTCCTTTGCCGATATTACAGTTTAAAAATCTTGATTTTCTGATCCAGGTTCACAGAGTCGGAGACGTACATGGAGGTGTTTTCTCTCCACGTGGAAATCATGGAACCTGAATGCAGCATCATAAAACTGGGACCCAAATCCCTGCAAGTTCCTGAGTTTTACGGCTTCTCCGATGCTGTGGACAGAAACATAGTGTCCTTCAACTATGAGAGGAGGTCCAGTCTGGAGTGTAGCATCCATCTAAGTAATCACGACACTCATCTGCCGGCTCATGGTCAGCTGGTCACCGGAGAGCCGGAGAAAGCTACGAAGAGAGGGGACGAGCCAGAGAGCTTTATTCCACTCCGACAGCAGCTGGGTAAGACAGCAAGAAAAGTATGAAACCTCAATCATCAGCATAAGTGGTATGCCTGGACATATAACGAATGGTGTTAAACAAACAGTAAAGGACTAAGAAAAGAGCCATGTGGGACTCCATAATTTAAAAAATTGTAATATTATTTTTTAAATTTATTGTATTTTATCTTTTATTCTTTTAATTTATATATTTTTTTATACTCCACAATTGACATGACTAAGTGATTATTAAGAGTTTGGATGCAGGAGTCAATTTTTCAATATTGTGAGTTTCATGTCATCCATCTTGATTTTTGTGATTATTCAGATAATAAAGAGAGAGCCATGTGTAAATCTGAGGACTGCCTGAAGGGTCTGAAGCTGGTGAAATTCACTAAATTCCCCTGTGATGACTTCCTAATGATGGGGCTGAAATATCAGCACATAGACCCTCCATCTCCAGACATGGACTACATTGCTATCAGGCTGGACTTGAAGGACACCAGGAGTGGCAGCATTTATAAGGTACCTCAGCTGCTTCGCTCATAAAAGTTTATTTTTCTTTCTTTTTTATCTTTTACTGTAACTCTGTTTCCTCGGTATAGTCTGAACAGGCCTGGATCCCAGTTCAGATACTTGGTGCGATGCCCAACCAGCCTCCCAAACCATCCTTCATGTCCATGTTCATCCTGGAGGTGGACCAGTTTATCCTCACGCCACTCTCCACCGCCACTTTGGACGCTGAAGACGAGGAAACCCCCAAACAGCTTTTAGTTTTCAACATCACCAAACCCCCCGCTGACGGCTTCATCACCCACCTGTCAGATCACACCCGTCCAATCACCTCCTTCACATGGCTCGACCTCAATGACATGCTCATCGGGTATCAACCTCCAAACTCCTCACACACACAGCGCAGGAACTATGAGGTGCAGCCTTAATTTCTTACACTCAGACACAGCAAAAAACATTTTTCGTGATGTCAACAGTTTCTGGAGATCTCTGTTTTCTTTCCATCCAGGTGGAAGTTGAGATTCATGATTTTTTCTTTGAGAAGAGCCAACCAGTGACCGTCCATATGTCTGTTAGAAACGCAGACACCAACGCACCCAGAGTGTCCTGGAACATGGGTGAGCATGCTGATGTCACAAATGCACATGTGTTGATTTTTTGGATTATGCAGCAGGGTCATCCTGAAAAACTCAACTGAGAGGTCCCACTGTGCCTTCTGTAGTTTTACCTTACTGTAGCTTTATGTTGAAAAAAATATGATTTCTTTTTCTTGAAGGTCTCAGTCTGTTGGAGGGTCAGTCCCGGCCAATTCTGTGGGAGCAGCTCCAGATTGTGGACAACGACAACCTGAATGCTGTCCGTCTCATCACTGTGGACGGTCTGCAGCATGGACGGCTCACAGTCAGAGGTACAGACTCAAAAGATCTCAGCTTTCCTGCGTATCATAGCTTGTTGTAGCAAACCACCCAGTCTGCTCAGACCACCCGCTCTGTCTTTGTCGACTTCCATTGAAGTACATTTTTCTTCTTGACTTAAAACAGTGGTGTCACAGTTTGCTTGATATGCAGATGAGTGGCCAAAAAGTTAAACTAAAGAGTGATCTTAGCTTGCAGATTGTTTCTGTTTCTGAAAAGTAGTTTTAGATTACCATGTTTAAGTATCATTAGTCTGTATTTTATATTCTAAACTCAAATTTTGGAATATTGTCTGAGTGTTTTTAAAGATAATTCCCTGTGTTTTAAGCCCTCTTAACCATAACCTTAGAGTATTATCCTCCAGTTTACTTCTAAACAACAATCCCTTGCAGAGGTGATGCATATACCGATATATTAAGTCTGACTTTTGTTTGATTTGATTCGTATGTGTTAAATTCAGGTGGTAAAGGTTTCATGTTCACCATCAAGGACATCAAAGATGGCATGGTTCGCTACCACCATGACGACAGCGACTCCACCAAAGACTTCATCATCTTCCGAATCACCGACGGCCCCCATCAGACCCGACACAAGTTCCCCATCAAGATCCTGCCAAAGGACGACAGCCCTCCATTCCTGATCACCAACATGCTGCTGGAGGTGTCTGAGGGTCAGACGGCTCTGCTAAGAGGCTCCACCCTGCAGGCCTCTGACATGGACTCCAGCGACGACTACATCCTCTTCAACATCACTCGTCCTCCACAGGCCGGAGAGGTCATGAAGGTCCCTGGACCAGGACTCACAGGTTGGAAGAGTCCATCAGTTATCATGACTTAATTTTAATCTCTTTAGAGTTTTCTCGAATAAAACCACGTGGTGTTACCGTTGGTTTACATCCAGGTTACCCCATCAGCCACTTCCTGCAGAAAGACCTGTCCCAGTCGATGGTGTACTATCGACACCTGGGGAATGAGGTGTTTGATGACTCCTTTGAGGTGGTGCTCTCAGATTTTCATGATCCTCCAAACCTGTCAGAGCCTCAGGTGAGTGATAGCAACACAAGTCTGAGAGAGTTCGTTCACCAATTTTTAAGAAAATGGGAAACTTCCTTTAATACAGCAAACACACTGTAATTTTACAAATCTCTGTCTTTCAATGCAAGTTCAACTCATGTATCTTCACTTTTTAATGACTTCTCAGTCATTAGCTTTTATAGTTAAAAGCTAATATTGTACAAGCTAACATATTTAAAATGCCAGTTTTATACATTTTCTCTAAACAATGTTAATTAGTTTTTGTATGATTGCACTCTAATATTTGTTAATGAGCACTTAACTCATTGGTAAAATCCTTTCAAATTGAAAGGTGCCTCAAAATCGTAATGGGATTTTGTAGAAGAGGATGCATCCTCTGCAGAGCATGAATGTGAGTTACAACTTCAGGGCATTTCATGCAAAGACGTCAAGTGATTTCCTCAAAATTACAAACAGGAACTGAAAACTGACAGTTGTGAAAACTCCAGGGAATCACCAAAATCATCAAGATAATCCTTTGGGAACAGTTAATGTTCGTAACAATAAACTAAAATCTATCCAAGAACTCTCAAGACACCCTTCTAAGAAAAAAACAACTAGCAAAGAGTTAAATAATCAATCTCACTGTGACATTGAAGGTACAGTCATTGAATTTGAATTGGGTTCATCATTTGGTGAGCATGATTGTTGGTGATGTTATTTCAAGGCTTTCCGTCCAATAGTTGCCCAGTTATTACCCTCAAAAACCTTGAATGCAAACCCAATAATAGCAATACAAAACTTTGCCTAAGTCCCTTGGGTATATCCTCAGAGGATCACGTTTAACATTTGTATTTTGGACTGACGTTCATCCAAATATTGTCTAGATACCCCCCCCTTAAACACAGCTGTCAAACCTATGATTACCCTTGACATAAACTCAGAGGTTTATCAGAATGAGTAGGATGTATCCTATGGGGAACATGACGTAGTTTTTCAGTGCAGTCCTCCCAATAGGTTTCTAATGATTTTCTCAAAACCATGAATCTGTATTTAACAATAACAATTGAGAAACTCCAGAGGGGTCACTAAAGTCATGAGGTTTATCTTCTGGAGACAACGCATGTCAGGAAATTTTGTCACCCTTTCCATTAAAACCTTGCCCATACTCTCAAAGAATACCTGCTCATACTCGGATTTGCCTTGAGCAAAAATCAAAGTAAATTTTTGAGTTCACAGAAGCAACTTGAGGGTGGGCAGAAGGTCTGAAGGGTATTGGAGATCTTTGCAGTCTGGAGTGTATCAGTACAAGCAGAGCAATTTCGTGCACTAACCGAGTTTGCATGGAAGCATTACAAAATCTGCATGTGAAAAAAATATTTGAGTGAAGTGACCAAGCTGACTAAACACAGATGAAAATGATTTCCCTGTGCAGGTGGTGGTGGTGCACATAGAACCGGTTCCAGACCAACCACCTAAAGAGGTTCCTGGCTCCAGCCGCTGTCTTGTGGTCAAAGAAACAGAAGTGGTCCATATAACTCGACAACACCTTCACTTTGTAGACCAAGAGTCCCCGGACAGTGAGCTCATGTATACAGTCACCACTCCACCTTTCTACACCAGTCCGCAGAGGTAAACCTATCCTCACCTGCAGAGAAAACCCAGAGTGGGATCTCCACAGTAAAACTCCTCTGTCTGAATTATGTGTTTTTGTTTCTCAACGAGCAGTAGTCCAGACGCAGGGAGGTTGTTCTTGGTCGACAGCATCCCTAAATTTACCAAAGACCTTAATGCACCTGTGCTGAGGTTATTCACACAGGTAAGTCTTTTAGTTCTTATTCAGTTACACATCCGTCAACAATAAAGTTTTACTTTGTTTGCTTTGTTTCCAGCATGCAGTGAATTTCATGAAAGTCGCCTTCATGCCTCCAATCCTGGACATCGGCCCGTACCCCCAGTATATCCAGTTTCTTCTGTCTGTAACAAACCACCTGGGCAAAACAGTGTCTGGGATCTGTTTTAACATCACTGTGATGCCAGTGGACAACCAGCCTCCACAGGTGAGAAGAAACAGCCCTTTTTTCTCCATTTTTCTGACTAGGACGTGTTAATATGAGAAAAAGCATCAAATAAGAAGAATAATTCTGTTTCCAGGTGATCACAAACCTACTGACTGTAGATGAAGGAGGAGAGTCCCGGCTCGGTCCTGAACACCTGCTGCTTTCAGACGTCGACTCCATGGAGGAGAGCCTGCGGGTGGAGCTTCAGAGGGAGCCCCAGCATGGAGCCTTGCAGCTGGGCAGCTCCCCACTACAACCAGGCCAGACCTTCACTGTGCAGGACCTGAGAAACCTTAAAGTTAGGTCAGACATCTTACTTTGGCTATTCGGTCTTTTGCATAATTTTTTTTACCTTAAAAAAACAAATTCTAGGTAACTAGATAAATAGATGACTCTCACTTTATAATCTTCATCTTAAAAACTGGTAACTCTAGATATGCTTGGAGACTTTTGAGTGATTATTCATCTCAACAGGTACACTCATGACGGCTCAGAAACCGTAGAGGACAACATACATTTTTCAGCATCAGACGGCACCAACTCTGTCAGTTTTGTCCTGCAAGTGAAGGTAAGTGTCTTAAAATAATTCAGATTCACAAGGTTTAATCAGGAATTCAAGGTTTGGTCAGCTTCCCACTCCTGGTTACGGTGGCCCTGAGGTTCTGAAGCAAGAAAACTTCATAAACACAAAGAAATATCACTTAAAATTCAGGAACATTTTATGATAAGCAAAAAATATTTCCTAAACCTCAAGGACATTTCACAAAACATGACAATCTTTATTGAGCACAGAACAAATTCATATTAAGAAGTATTTCATAAAACACACACGTAAATATTCAGAAATCATGAAAATGTGACAAAAAGATAGGAGATTTCACAAATTTAAGAATATTTTTTGAACAAAATATCTCAAAAAATGAAAATTTCTCATGCATCAACAACACATTTTGGCTCTATAAGTAATCTAATGACACACAAAATCCTTAAAGCTTTTTATGTAATGCAAGACTCATCAAGCCCAAAAACTTTTCACACAGCCTGAAAAATTATAGGAACAACAAAAATATTTTATGATTTTTGGACAGTTTTTTAAAACAAATTTTGGGTTTTAACTTTTTTTCAGTGTTTTATTAAATATCTTGTTGTACTTTTGTATGTTTTGATATATTTTTTGCTTTTTCCATATATTTTTAAAATCTTCCAATTTCCATTTTTTTAGTTTGGTAAGAAAAAATTCCAGTTTATGTCAAGCCTTTTTTTCACTTTTGACATAATTTTGCATTTAATTAAATATTTCTCCAACTAAATTTTTTGTCCTTTCTTAATATGTTGTGTTTCATAGATTATTTTTGCCATTTTTTTTTACTTTTTCATTTATTAATTTTTGTGTTTTGTAGTTAGCTTTTTGTTTTTTGTTTTTTTCAGATTTTTTGATTGTTTTTATATCAAAAGATCTGAAGTGTTTGTGCATTTATTTTTGGTTTCTTACGTTTTTTGTGATTGCATATTGTTTGTGGAATATTTTTGCAGTTTTTTGTTATGTAAACTTATTTTGCATTTCACGTAATATTTCTTTTGTTGTTTTTTTATGTATTTGATAATATCTTGAAATTTTATTGTAGTCTGAAATGGTTTTGTTTTGTTTTTTACTTGAAACATTTTTGTGGTTTATATGAAATGTATTTAAATTTAGTAAAACCTTTTTTGTGTTTGTGCATTGCAGCTATACCTGGTCCCTTTGATACAAACAGAAATTTCAAATAAAACTGTCGATTTAGTGACTTTAATGCCATATTCAGGTGATTCCCATCAATGACGAGGTCCCGGTGTTGGTTCCTGGTTTGAAACCGGTCCTCAGCTGCGCAGAGGGACAGGAAATTATCATCACAGCTGAATATATTTACGCTATGGACGCTGACAGCGATAACAGCAGTCTGGCCTTCCTAATCGCCCGGCAGCCCTATCATGGCGTGGTCCTCCGAAATGGCGTCATCGTCGACCGTTTTATCCAGGCTGATATAACAGCAGGGATCATTTCCTACAAACACACAGGTGAGCAAAGACGCAAAGATCATTGAAATTTCTGCTGAACACCTAAGAGTTTGACCTTGTATTTGTGGAATAAATCTGTTTCTAAAAGTACCTCATCGTTTTTTCAGGTCTGGAGGTCGGACTCACTCCTCGCCATGATACTGTCACGTTTGTGATTTCCGATGGAGATACAGGAAATCCTGGTCTTTGCTGTATTGATGGAAATCCCTCCAAGACCAGAGGAAAGACTCAACTACGAGACAGTCTACCTGTTTACGACCTCAAGATCACTGTGTTTCCTGTCGACAGCCAACCACCCTCACTCACAGCAGGTGGGCCATTTCTGAGTTAAGTTAGTAACACCTTCATGGTCTTTATCCTGCACAGATTTAGACCCACAGGTGTGTTTTTGAACCTTTACTTAACCAGATCATAACCTGTTCAGATCAGGATCTCTCATTGGCGCTGTTTGACTTTACTCGGTTGACTCATCTATCGCTCTGTTTTCTTTTGACGACCGTCAGGAGACCTTTTCACCGTGGATGAGGGAGGATCTGCTCCCATAACCACATCCCATCTGAAAGCCTCTGACGTGGACACAGTCCTGGACGAGCTGGTGGTCAGTCTGATCTCTCCGCCACAGTTTGGATACATTGAAAACGTCCTGCCCAGTCCTGGCTTTGAGAAGAGCAACACGGGCATCAGCATAGGTAAACTTCAGCAGCATCATGAGCAGGACGACGGGTGATGTGTGAAACTGTATTTTATTATCGATTTGTGCTGTATTGTTATGTTTCATATTAAACTGTAACATCTTGTTTCGTATTGTGTCATGTTGTACTGTATTGCATTTTATCATGTTGTGTCGTTTGACCTCTTTTTTTCCTCAGCTTCTTTCTTGTACAAAGACATCATGGACGGTCATGTGAATTACGTGCAGTCCAGACACCAGAGGATGGAGCCCACAGCAGACGTGTTCATGCTTTGTGTGTCCGATGGCAAACACAGCTCTGCCCACGTCCCCTTTTACATCATCATTAACCCCACAAACGATGAGATCCCGGAGTTTGAGGCTCGCAACATCACAGTAAGCTTTTATATCTACTAAATATCTACTAAACACAAGAGGACACAGTAGATTTGGTTTTGTCAGTATTTACCAGCTTCTCTCTGTGTGGAGGTTCAAGAGGGAGAAATGAGGCAGCTGGATTCGTCAGTGTTGCGTGCGATGGATCTGGATGTCCCCCAAAATGTCCTGCTCTTCAGTGTGGTCAAACCTCCTCAGTATGGCAGCATCATCAGCCACAGCAGAGTGAAGACGGGGTACAAGAGACGGGAGTCCGGTCCTCCAGTCGCTGTGGTGGACTTCACAATGACAGATCTGATAAATGGTATTTTTTACATGTCAGGGTATTTCTGCACTTGGGTCATGTGTTATTTCTTAACTTGAAATGGATAAATTTTTAGTCATTTATACACTTCTTAAGGTCTCTGAGGAAACACTGTCAAGGGGAATGACACTTAGTACTAGACATGAAAAAGTGAAAACAAACTTATATTTGCTTTTACTGTCAGAATAAATTCTGGGGTGGCACAGTGGTGTAGTGGTTAGCACTGTCGCCTCACAGCAAAAAGGTCCTGGGTTCGAATCTGGGTCAGGGCGTTTCTGTGTGGAGTATGCATGTTCTCCCTGTGTCTGTGTGGGTTTACTTCGAGTACTCCACTTTCCTCCCACATCCCAAAAACATGCAGAAATGGGGTTAGGTTAATTGGCCACTTTCAAATTGCCCATAGGTGTGAATGTGGGTGTGGATGGTTGTTCTTCTCTATATGTCAGCTATATGTCTCTATATGAACTGGCGACTTGTCCAGGGTGTACTCTGCCTTCGCCCGATGATGCTGGGATTGGTGACTCCAGCCCCCCTGCGACCTCAAACGGGAGTAAGCGTTAGAAAATGGATGGATGGATTGATGTCAGAATAAATCATAGTTTCAAAAGTTGTACACAATTTAAAAGACAGATTGTTTATGAGGAGTAAATGTAAAAAGCAGAATGTCAGTGCCTATCTGAAATATGCATTCCTTCCTGTAGCCAGCAGGGGGCAACCTTACTATTTGCAAAAACGTGTCCATTTATGTGCAGATTTCTGACAAATAAGCCTCACTTTGTGTTTCGCTCATGAGTTTGTGGTTTTTACCCCTAGTTTGAACCCTTAATGACAGAGGAAGCAAAGAAAGGAAGGACAGGAGGAAGAGTCGTGCTTTTAGAGTCTTATTCTGCGACTTTAACTTGCAACATTTTTACAAAAGAACTTTTATCAACTTTTTCGCTCAGGTATGGATCTGATGTACATGCATGACGACTCTGAGAACATGGACGACAGTTTCACCGTCCAGCTAACAGACGGCAGACATCAGCTCCACAAACAGGTGATGGTTAAAGTCCTGCCAGTCAACGACGAGGAACCGAGAGTGATCAGGTAAAATCATTATACTCACCATATACAGTGAGCCATGTGACATATAGAGACAACTTTCTTCTTCTTTGTCCTTTGTTTTTTAGGAATAATGGGCTGGAGGTGGAGCCCGGAGAGGCCCGGCTGGTGTCCAGTGTTGTTCTGTTTGCAGAGGACAGAGACAGTCCAGGTTCAGAGGTCATGTACATGTTTGAGAGCGTCCCTGCACAAGGATTACTGCAGCTGAAGGTCAGTGAAGGGCTGAAACTACGAGTTTAGATTTGTTGTCTGCAGACAGTTACTGAAAAAAACTGTTTGATTAAGAATAATATAAAATAAGAAGGTGGTCATGCTAATTACACTCCTGATAGGGTGAGCAGGGGCCTGATGTAAAGGTGGGTGGAGAGCCTTACATCGGGTATGAAACACTGTTCCTGATTTTGTCTCAGGAAGGTCAGGACTGGGTGACCCTGACAGCGGGGAGAAACTGCACTCAGGAGATGGTGGACATGAACCTGCTGCGTTACACACACACCGGCCTGCACGGAGCGAACATACAGGACTTCTTTGTTTTCTACCTGTTTGACGGGAAGAATCGATCACCTCCGCAACACTTTCACATCTCCGTCAAAGATCTGGAAAAAGGTACTGGAATGTCAGGGTTTAAGACCAATTTCATCCTGATGTGACTCCAGTCTAACTTCTCCTCCATGTTTCGTCAGGGAACATTGCCATCTTTGTAAAGCCGGTGAGTGTGAACCGTGGGGATCGGGTCGTTCTCACCACAGACGCTCTGTTAGCCACAGACGGCACCAACAAACCAGAGGAGCTTCTGTACGTCATCACTCACCCTCCTGCTCACGGACACATTGAGTACATCAAACACCCTGGGCTGACCATCTCAACCTTCAGCCAGATGGACATCGCAGCAAATCTGGTGGCTTATGTTCACGACAACAGAGCGAGCGCTTCCACAGAGACATTTCAGTGAGTGTGGGAAGCAGTTTAAACTCTCTCTGTCAGTGTTCCTCCTGCAGGTTTAAAAAAATGGAGCAGAACTGTGGCGATCAGGGCTGGTGTTTGTACATTTGGTGGTTTTTGCACTCAAGCTCAAAGAGAACAGTTTACCTGGTGGATCTTAAATGGACATAACAGCCTCAGCTGTTCATTTTGTCCCAACGGATAACCATCATGTGTGTGATTACTCTCCAAATGTTTAGGATTAAATTCTTCTAATAGTCATTAAAAATAGTCATAAAACTGGTTTCTCTGGTTGAAAAGGTCTTCATGTGAGCTGTTTCGAACCTCAGTAGGTTTCAAATGTCTCATCTGGAAGCTGAAGGAAAAATTTCACGTTTAATCCACAGTCTTTTGTGTGTTTCTGCAGGTTTGTGGTGAGTAACGGTAAGACCAGCAGGAATGGGACCTTTGACGTCACAGTGGAGATGGTGGACCGCGTCCTGCCGTCCTTGACCTCAAACACAGGCCTCTCAGTCCCACAAGGGTCCTCCATGATCATTAGTCCAGACTGCCTGACTTTATCCGACCCTGACACTCCTCCAAGAGACCTGGTCTTCCTCCTCCTGCATCCTCCTCAGTATGGCAGCCTGATTTCAGGAGGAAGACTCCTGACTGCTGGATCAAACTTCACCCAGAGAGACTTAAAAGAGCTGGAGGTGACGTACAAACATGATGGAGGGCCGTCACTGATCGACAGATTCGCCTTTTCTGCCTCCGACAGCAGCAAACGAGGCTTCCTGCTCGAGGAGCGGTTACAAACAACACCTGTCTACTTCACCATCCAGGTGGGAAAGTTAATTTTTATATTAGTTCACAGGATTTGTGGTGGAGTTTAAAATCTGACACATCAGCTGGTAGAAATGACCAAGAATATGAGTGCTCCAGCTGTAAAAGATGATCAATCTTATGACCAGTGCAACAACAGCTGTAACCTGATCTACCTTTTCAGGCAGCCCCTCACTGCATCAAAACCCCAAGAGTCTGAACATCCTTTGGCTCATATCTAGGGCATTTGTGTTGAAATACTTTACATCAGGACAAATACTGATGAAATGGTTTTTCCATACAATATATGTTAAATTTTACATACACACTAAATGAAAAATACTAATATCCTCTCATGTCTTGAAATGCATAGACTCAGTATTTGGCTGCAGTATTACCAAATCAGCGACATATTATCACTCTTTATCCCTACAGCTTAAAAATACTGAGTAGACATCAGAAATGTGAGGGGTGTGGAGTCAAAACGCTCCATTGATCACATTCAAAATACCTTATACAGATTTCATCATATATAAGTCGGAACTCAAAAAATCAGCGGGGCTCAGGGGGCGGAGCTTGGATTTGCTACATAGGAAATCTCACTGTGTCTGAATCTGCTGTTTGGGTCTGCCAGAGATTCACAGTGGTTTGAATGCAGAAATACTTAGAAAATGTAATTTCGCACTTCGTTTTCTCATGATATGTCCTGCAGCATCAGAAAAATGCTGTATAAACATGTAGACAACAAGAAAAACATGATTTTCATCGGAATGGGTCTTGAAATTTTGCATTTATGCTTTTATTTTGAAATTTTCTACTTCTTGTACATCATGACTCACTGACATAAATGAAAACAAGTTAGAAGAACGATTTGAAAGTATAAATATTTGGTTGATTAGTCCTAACCCTTACCTGAAGAAATAAAATCTTTGACTATCAGTCTTCAAAAGCACTCAACCATCTCTCAGAGGGCTGCTACAGCTAGCTTCCACGCAGCTGCTGCTTCTTCTTCGTCCCTCCTTCATTTTATGACATGTGGCAATCAGCGTAAAGGACAGCTACTTTGAACTCATGGCAGATTTTTTGGCATCCAAAAAATGTTTAATTTCTTTAAAGAGACAGCTGTCATCATCAGTACTATATATTACAGCAGCCCTCAGTGTTAGCAGCATCACAGCTCTCATACATAGAGGTTAGTTTGTTTCTCTGTGTTCAATGGGAGGCTGCATTCAAGTGAATTCAGATAACCATTAGTTTAATCCTGGACCACTGGTAATGAAAGCATGATGTGATATGGCTGTTGTAATGATTTAGAAAGATATGTGAATACCTATCTGTTAAGAAAACCCTCTATTTGTTTCCAGATCAAGCCTCTGGATAAGTCATCTCCTGAGGTTGTGAAGCTACTTCCTCTTTGGAAAGCCGAGCTTTTGGATGACGGACGTTATGGGATCTTTTTGTCCTCTCATGAGCTGAAGGCTGAGGACAGAGACAGCAAAGACGAGGAGCTGATTATCTGCATCATCCGGCAGCCGTACTTTGGTTATTTAGAGAACATTACCACAGGTTAGTCGAGGAATACATTTAGTTTGTTTAAAATTAGGCATAAAAAGCCTTACTTGGGTCAAGATGAGTCTTTCTGTCTGTCTGTTGTAGGTGGTTTTGTTCCGCAGCGCTTCCCTCAGACGGAGCTGAATAAAAGATCGATTGTCTACATCATCAACCCTGACAGACAGTCTCTGTCAGACAGTCTGGAGTTCTCCGTTTCTGATCCTTTAGGGAACAGTGGACCCTCTCATGTGTAAGAAAAGACACTGAAACACAGATTTTTTAAAGAATGTATTGATTCAAATCCTCACCGAGCTAAACTTTCTCTTTGCAGACTTGAGGTCAGCTGGTCTACAGTGGAGCTGTCTCAATCTCATTACTCTGTGTGTGAGGATCGAAGGACCGTCTCCCTGGAAATCAACAGAAAAGGGAACTTAGCAGAGTCTTCATATGTCACTGTCAAGGTCTGCACCAAGTTTGTTTTCGTATTGACACTTTAAGAGGGTATATGGCCCTGAATTAAGATGGAGGGGCAAAAAAGTTTAGACAACAAGGACAAAATAAGACACTTTTGGACCATAAACATCTGCTTAATCTCAATCCTATTGCCCCAGACTTTAATCACAAAAACAATGGCGTTACCCAGAAGATCATGGGTAAAGCTGGTTTTTAATTCTACTAATTACATAAAAAAAAAAAAAACAGGAATATCCCTTAATATTCTTTGTAAGTTAATTTAACTTGAATGCTCTTTTGTTCCACTTTTGACACAAATATCTAATGTTTTTTTGTCAGGTAAAGGAGATGACAGCCACAGCTGGTAAAGATTTCCTCATCGGTTCGTCTTCCCTCATCCAGTTTGACCCAGGTATTTGCTCAGAAATAGAGAACATATTGTAGTATACGTACACACGTATACTGTATATATACTGTAAAAAGTGATTTGCTCTTTAAGTTATATTTGATGATATGTCTCTGTTCTGAGAACTCCCTGCTTTTCCATGCTCCCCACATGGCAGGGAGAGAACATATCTCCAACCTTTGCATACATGAAAAGCCAAGGCAGGGAGAGCAGCAGCAAAGAACTCTGGGAAAAAGCTTTCTGTCTTTCTAAGTGTTGAAGTGTACATATGACAGTGTTAAAGCCAGACTTAGCAGAAAAAGGAGGAGCAGGGTTTGAACGAGTATTTTGATTTACTAACTGAATGTGTAGACAGCGCTGTTAATAATATCAAAGAGTGCATATGAGACCTGCGTCAGCTCTGTGATGTTTCTGTGTTTGTAGGAGTGTCAAAGAGGATCTGGCAGACTGAGGTCATTCAGGATCAGCTGGAGGAGTTTGAGGAGAAGTTTGAGGTGCTGCTGGTCTCTCCTGAAGGAACTGTGATTGGACAGACTGACCAGGCTCAGGTCACCATCAGGGACTCAGGTAGACATACAGACCATAAATATGTGCACTTTACGACCTTATGGATAACAGGGTCACACTACGTTAAAAAAAAATCCTAGTTCCCTGGGAAACTTTCTTTCTTTCTTTCTTTCTTTCTTTCTTTCTTTCTTTCTTTCTTTCTTTCTTTCTTTCTTTCTTTCTTTCTTCAAACTTTCTTTCTTTCTTTCTTTCTTTCTTTCTTTCTTTCTTTCTTTCTTTCTTTCTTTCTTTTATCATTTTTCTTGCTCTTTTCTTTCTTTCCTTCTCTTTCTTACTTTTTTCTTTCTCTATTTCTTTCTTTTTTATTTTACCTTTCTGTATTTTTTTTATCTTTTTTCTTTTTCCTTTCTTTCTCTATTTCTGTCTGTCTTTTTTCTTTTCCTACCTTCTTTCTTTTTGTATTTCTTTCTTTCTGTATTTCTTTCTTTCTGTTTTTCTTTCCTTTTCTTTCTTTTCTTTTTTTCTTTCTTTCTTTCTTTCTTTCTTTCTTTCTTTCTTTCTTTCTTTCTTTCTTTCTTTCTTTCAATCTTCCTTTTGCTTTCTTTCTTTATTTCTTACTCTTTCTTTCTTTCAATCTTCCTATTTCTTTCTTTCTTTCTTTCTTTCTTTCTTACTGTTTCTTTCTCTTTCTTTCAATCTTCCTTTTGCTTTCTTTATTTCTTACTCTTCCTTTCTTTCTTTCTAATTTTTTTTTTTATTATTTCTTTGTCTTTCTTAGTTTTTCTTCATTTATCTCAAACTTTAAGGACAAAAAAAGAATTAAAAAAACAAAACATCGAGCAAAACGTATACATATGTACACCAAACAACTGTACATGTCAAAGATAAATTTGTCATATGTATGTCAAAAACAGACAGTTTGAGAAGGAACAGAATGAAGCAAAGCATTTGTGTAGTCCTGCCTCTCCCTCAAATAGCTGACAACTTTTTTCCTTCTCGTCATCACAGGTCAGTGCAGACTGAACCAGAATCGTGAGGCTCCAGTTCTTGGAGGCAAAGAGGTTCGATCTGACAAATACCCTCCACATGGATCCATCCATCTGGAGAAACTGCCGCTCGGCACAGAGTCAGTCGTCTGGAGTCGAGGAGACAGCATCCCCAAACCTTCAACAGACGTTACAAAGAAGAAACTGAAAGTTAGGGGCAATCCAAAAACTGTGAGTGTCTCCTCTGACACACCTGTAAGGTTTGGACCTTTTTTTAAAGATTAATTTAAACCACTGCTGTGTTTTGTCACAGATTGCACCGTCATCAGTCTTCCACAATGGTACGGATGTTGTTTACACGGTAAGCAGCAGCTGATACAAACCTGAGGTCACCTCTAGACTTTTGGAGAAACGTGCAAAAATAAACAGTTTGTTTCATCACAGTATCATGGGATCATGCAAATGCAAGTGGAAGATGAGACCTCCCCATCAAGGACGGGCAGGAGAGCAAACATCCGTGTGGTCAGCAGAGGAGCTCCTCAAAATAAGATCTCACAACCTCAAAGAAGTGGACCAACTCGAGCACACGTGAGAGCAAAAGTCCTTTATTGTTTCTGCTTTCTGGAAACTTCACTAAAAGGTAGAGCAGTATATTCAACTCTCTTCAGTTTTGTGATCAGAGCTGCACAGAGGTCTTGGAAAATCAGGCTGAAAATCAGGCTAAGCCTCATGTTGTGGTCACAGTTGCCAATTCCTAATAAAAAAAATCAACCTTTCGATCTTTAATGTGCTTTCCACTGACTGAAAGAGCCTTAAAAATGACTTATTAATGGATTAACTCTCAAATACAAACAGCAGAGTATGCCAGGTAAAACCACACTAAGGTGATTTCATTGATTTGTTTGGCTCTTAGACTTCATCCGATAACTCTGTGCCCAAGCCCTGTGTGCCAGAGCTGATGGGACTCCTGCATTTCAACCAAACCACCAACCAGCTTTTCCACTGCAACGGCGTCAACTGGAAACCCTGGGCCCCAACTGATCAGGTACGACAGCCTGAGAAGACCTGCAATAGAAAGCATGCAATAGCTTCTCTGTGTGGAGGAAAATCTGTTAATACAACGCTGCAGCTGAAAGATTTAATCAGAGTCAACAACAACAACAAAAAAGAGTCAGACAAGACTTTTCACACATGCACAGCACCAGAGCAACCTGACCATTCCACAGCGGGGCGCCAAATTCAACCCAATCTGATTTCTCACAGAGCTCAGTCAACACCTCTGTTTATCACCCTCTGAAGGAATTCTGTGCTGATTCACTCATGATAAAAGTCTGATTGTCTGCCCTTTTTCCTCCTGAAAATCAGATGGTTGGTGCCCAGAGGTGTCCTCAGGGTTGGACCTTTCATGGCGGTCGCTGTTACATCCTCGGCAGTGAGCACAAAGTCACATGGAGCACAGCAAACAGAGCCTGCAGGGAGAGGTACGCTGTCACATGGAGAAAAAAAAACTCCAGGATAATTTCAGACTGAGAACCTGGCTATGCATGCTTCTAATTAGTCATGTTTAAAATTCATGTAATCTGAATTATCCCAATCTAAATTCTCCTTCAGAGGACATAACTCAGCTTGTCTTTGTGATTTTAGATATAAAGGAACTTTAGCAAGCGTTCAATCTAAAGCTGACATGGACTGGATGTGGGACTTCAGTGGAAGAAAACCATTTTGGATTGGTGAGTGGCTCTGAAACTTTTCTCACATTACTGCTCTGATATGTTGTATAAACATAATGTCAGGATTTCAGTCTTCACAACCAAGGTTTTCCAGAAGGAAAATAAACAAAAAATAATAATCAGTGTTTATCCACAAAAAAAAAGGACATGAGCAGAAGTGTGGAGCTGATCCAAAAGAGCACACAGAATAAAAACAGACTCATCCCATGTTATAACAGACAAGTCATGAATGCATTAAAGGTTCAAGAAACTCAAAGACCAAGCTCTTTAATTTTGTACCCCAAAAAGACTAGAATTAATCAAACTTGTTTGCTGAATTTGCTGTAAGACACCCATAAATTTCCTCTGATCTCTTGGGGGGTCTTTCTGTGCAGATGACAGCACAAAAAACTTTTTACTTGTCCTCAGAAATGCAAACAACTGCAGTTCCTGAAACAGCCACTTGAGGCAGATAAGTCCCACTTGTAAGTGTCAAACTTAACAGCAAGCTTGTGTAAAGCCTGGTACCTGAATGCTTTTGGTCTCTATTAGGGATGTGCATTTCAAGCAAATGTACTATCCGATAATCGCGGGGTAATAATCGATTATTGATCGAATATTCGTCCCCCCCGCACACACACACCAGCGGGAAAGACAGAAAGAGATCTGCGATTATCATAACTCTGTATTTTTATTTTGACAGTGATGCAATTCACAGTACAACATTATAGAACTGTTCCACTGTTTAACCTCATTACGCACACAGGATATAATTATCAACTGTGCCGCCCCCTCTATAAACCATAGGACAAAGTGATTCTCTTCCACAGGACAGCTGGAATCATCCTGACATATTCAGACTCAGCGATGTAGTTTCACTGTCCAGGCATAACAAAAGTTAACAAAACCATTTGCCAAAGGCACAGCCGAACGCACGTCTTTCTCACATGCAGTACAATTAAAATACAGCCTACAGCCAATATAGCCTAGTTTACACTGTACCTCTGCCTCACTTGTTTGCTAGAATAGCTCCACACAGAACTTTTAGACAGCTGAAGTAATCTCTCCATTGTGTTTATTTCTTCTTCTATGGTGGCATCTTGCCCGCCACACTGTGTATCATGCAAAAACTGCCCCCTTACGGACGGTGCCAGTAAAACAACTTTTTTTTTTTTTCCAGATATGATTAACTATTTGACTTTTTAGGATTTAATGACTATTCAAATATTCAAAAATCATTGCACATCCATAGTCTCTATTCTTATCTCTTTACAGCTGCAGGAAAGATGAAGATTTTTAACTCGTGTTTTGATTGCTTTCAGTGTAGAAGTCATGCTCAGTTAGTCATTGAGGGTGTCTTGGCCATTTGCTAGGCTAGCGTCACCTCTCTGACTGTGTCTAGCTTAGCCAAATGTTAGCTGGAGTCTGGATGTCCAATATGGCGACTGTTAGTGTTGGATTTTATAACACCTCTGGATAGCGTCAGTAAGAAATTGTTTTTGAAAAAAGTCTGCGTGTCCTTTGGCTTGCTTTTGCAGCCTAGGAGGTCACTGTTTGTGGTCTCTGTTTTTTGAGTGTCACCAAGCTGATGCTAGATTTGCAAAGAATATCTTGCGTTATCTGCGACCTGCTCTTAGACTGTCTTCTATTAAAACTATTTTGCCATTTTTCAATTTGGCCTCATTCTTCTTCTCGCTGTCTAAGGCCTTAATGACAGGGAAGGCCGAGGACGCTGGGAGTGGGCAGATGGCGAGCTGGTCAGCTACACCAACTGGAGGAAGACCCCGCCTCGCTCGAAGATGAAGGGAAACAAAAAGTGCGTTCTGGTTTGGAAGAGAGCAAAATGGCAAATCAGAGACTGCAGGACGAGCAGAGGTCATCGCTTTGTTTGTTCAGTGAAGACATGAAAAATTATAAAGCATCACAGCCGAGACCCACTGGAAGAGGAAGGACTGATCCTCAGGACATTTTTACTGTAAAACCTTCTCGAAAAGGAACTTTTGGAACTCAGCTGGAACTGTTTATATCATTTTTAATGAATTTATAACATGACTTTTATACTGTCTATGGAGCTAAATACTATGTGACACAGTTTACACATTTATTTAAACGTTTACTCGAAACACTGAAAGTATTATTGTATGTAGAGCTCACAAGGTTTACTTTAGAGTCTATTTAAGGGTTCAGCCCCTAAAACTGGACAGTTTGACAAGACCTGGAGTTGACATTTCTCAGATCCATTTCTGCACTTTGTTTTTTTTTTCTGGACACAAGAAATGCAGAGAAATGCAACAGCAGCATAAACTTGAAAAAGTCTAAGAATGACTTTTTTTAATGTCATCTGTTTTAATAGGAGTTCTGCCTTCCATGTAGAGCTCCCCTTCTCTTAATAAACAAACACACTGGTGGTTAAAGCTGGTGGGAAATCCGAATAAAGCAGTTTTGTCTTCAAGAGCTTTTCAGGCACATTTTTGTAGACACATGGTTTTAAAATGGGCTGTGAGCTGAGCTGCTGCTAGCTTTTTTTTAGGTGAGTATTCCTGCTGTTTCTTTACAACAGGAGCAGAATTATCTTTGGTGTATAAAGTGGATCCACTTTAAAATCTGTATTTCTCTCAGCCTTTTGCAGTACATGGGGCTGTGAGCTGAGCTGCTGCTTGCTCTAGCCCTATTGCTGAATTTGATTGTGCATAAGCTTAAATAATAAAACATGACTCTGCCTGAACTTTAGACAGTTAATTAAAAATATGGTTAGCTACTGCCAACTGTATCCCACTAACACACAATAAAAGTAAACACATGTAAGTGGAATACACATCAATTGGGGACTGTGAGCAGTTGATAGTTTAAAGTCCTTTATTACTTCAAGAGAATTGAAACTGTGACAAGATAGTTCGCTCTTTACCTATTCAAAAATAGATTAAAGCTAAAGCTCATCAAGGAATAGCAGTTTTTTTACAAAATCTCTGTTACTCTGGTGCTTTTTTGCAGATCTTTGGGGGCTGTGAGCTGAGCTGCTGCCAACATTCGATTTATTGTCTTTAATTATAAGGCTGAACCTACTGGTCTTGACTGTAAACACACGTAAAGTAGTTGATTTGAGCACAGAGCAAACACCCCAAATTCTCAGTGTTTGCATCAATATTTGCTGATATTGTCCTCTGTTGGCAGTTTCCTATGAGTCATGCAACTTCCTGCATTCCAGTCCTGTTTATTTCATTTTTTAAAATTTGTGCCTAATCTGATTAGCTTAAATTTAACAATCAGAACTGTTGAAGAGATGCTCTGTTTGTTTTCCAAGTCAGGGAGCAAAATATGATTAAAAAGATGATTTGTTTACCGTCGACTGGACTACAAGGGGGAAAGAGGAGGTAAAAGCACAGACGGAGGTGCTGTTTCTGGAGAGGAATGGGAGGGGAAACGGAGAGCAGGCTGTTAAAAAGGTTCATCCAGCCCCCAATAAAAGACCTGTTTTTGTTTTGTTTGGGCTCATGCATATAAAGGAATCTTAACCTCTTATTATCCTGAATTCCCAAAAAGAAAACTATTTAATTTTGTGCACAAGAGGTCAGACTGTGAACATAATGTAATTCTCTTATCTTGTTCAAACACTCAAAATGTAATTATTTGCTCGGAACAAGTGATCTTATGCAAACAAGATGATGACTTATGCACACAGGATAATTAGGTTTTGTGTACAAGATGGTTAAGCTGTTTTCACAGTATTACAACTTGAGAATGAATGATAACTGATGTGTTCCCATCAGAAGTTAACAAATTCACTCAAGATAATCTGCTCCCAGAATTCAGTTGAAGAACAAGATAATCATTTTATGGCATCAGTATAACTTGTTCGCACAAGATAAGGCAATCAACTCCCTTCCACAAGAATAATACTTAATAATTAGATCATGGGTCCAAGACAAAAAAATATGTTTAACTGGATCATTAAATTTTCAGAACAAACAATCATCTTGCTTTGGATAGATAAAATCTTACACACAAGATTGATATGATAATTATGTTGTGCACCACAAGACCATTATTTTGTCCCATGATAGCTTATAACAGTTTAATGATCTTGTAGAAATGAGAAATACTTGTGTATACATGATTATTAAATTGTACCTACAGGATTATCATTTTGTTCCTACATGGTAACTTACATGAAATTTAATTGTGAGAACAAGATTACTACTTGTGCGCACTAGATAATGACTCGTTACCACAAGATATTAAATTGTTTCCACAAGATAAAAGCTTGTCACTGCAAAAAAAAAGGTAACTGGTGTGAGCACAGTAACTTGCATACAAGATTATTATTTGTCCCCACATGATAATGATACTGTGTGAACACAAGATCATTATCTTGTTCCTGTGAGAATTTATGACAGCTTATTTTGCTTGAATCAGAATCGCCTGTGACAACAAGATAATAGCTTGCACACAAGATTTTATGTGTTCTACTTAAATACTTGTTCACCTAAATCATTGTATCAGAAAAATTATCTTATGAGAACAAGATTATGACTGTGAAAACAACTGAATTATCAAATGTGCAAAATACAGCTATTTGAAGGAACTTTGTATTATCTTATCAGATCAGTTTTTGTGTGAGTACAGAGGCTATTATCTTGTTGTAACAATTTGTTATCTTGTACACACACAAATTAAGATCTGACAAGATAATAAAAAGTTCCTCTGGGACGGTTTGATTTTGCACATTTGATAATCAAGTTGTTGTCACAGGATTTAAACACATGCACACTGCAAAGTCATATAAGATGTCATATAATGAATGCACGAGTTGTTTTCACATGCACACAGGGTTGATTTGTCGTGCACAGAATAAAACACATTAAGATATAAATCAGTTCTCAGATGATAAAATCATCACCAGTTTGCAGATTTTTACAGTCACGGGATCAATCATCAGAGATCCTATATTTTCTTTCAAAGCCAAGAAATTGAATTTTGATAAAGTCTGATCCATGACGTGATATTATCTGAGTGTCTTTGTAAAAATATGGGCCTCTTATCACAATCTTAATGTGCCTTTATTATATGACTTATATGAAATATAGGTAAGTATAGACGTGTCCTCTCTGCCTTGTGTAAGGCTCTGTTGTTGTTGTTGTTGTCCTCCCTCTGTATGAGAATCCTGCTGTTATGGAGATCTGGGCCAGTGGGTCCTGCGAACCACAAGGTTAAGCGCCAACGTGATTATCCCCATCATGTGATCTACAGACCGGCCATGAAAGAGAGCTTTTTATATGAGCTGTAAGAACTCCTCAGAGGTTTGCATGAATTCAAAAGGATACTGGAGATCTTCTTCAGCTCGGTAAGTCCTCTTCGTACCGACCACAGAGATCTGTCTGTCGTGAGTGTGAGCTGAGTCTGAGATTGAGTTTGTTTCAAAAATCAGCCTGACTCTTATCATGTCCTGTATCAGTTAATCAGAGATGAATGAAGATTTTTTACAGCTTTAATTTTTGAAAACTTTGAAGAAACTGTTCAGAGATTTTTCTGAACATGACTAAACTATAAGGAAAGATTTTAAAGTTAAAGGACAGTCACACGTTTCCTGATGTTTCACCCCCAGTCATGAAGAAAATGGAGTCTTTTTCTGTGAGCTAACATGCTAAGTGCATCAGCAGCTGCTTATTAAACTTCAGTGTATCTTCTCCAGGAAAACAGAGACTGTCTGAAATCACTCTATCTGTCTATTCTTAGCTCTTCACACACAGCGCAGCCCTGTTTTTGAACAATATTCACCTTTGTGTGAGTGTTTCTCCCAAAGCAAGTCACTCTGCTGCGCTGACTGTAAGGAGCTTTTATTTGTCTGCTGTTTTACTGAAAGGATTGTTATTTCTACCCTTATATTTTTGCACATTTTGCCCTTAATGTGAGGTAACCGTGTCAGCTTGTTAACTATTATATTCTGCTGTCAATTTTCCGTCCCTGGGAAAGTGTCCTTAAAAAGAGCCAGATGACTTTTTAAGTCACATTGTGTTGCAGTGTTTTAGCTAATCTTTGCATATAGTGAATGTTTAATGAAATATTTTGGTGAATGAGCACAGTTAGTAGCTGTTTGAGGGTGAAAGATGCAGACTGGTATGGATATCATGCCTGTTTTAGGACTGGGGTACAATGCTGGAGTCAGATCAGGCATGAAGACTGAGCTAAAGTTAAGAAAAGATCTCTATAAGGAAGTTTCAGAGCCACAATAAACAGTAGAAATATCTAAAACTTTGGTAATAATAGGAGATAAAAGCATACAATTACTGGGAAATTGTTGAAACAAAATGAAGAGATAGTCTTAAGAAAAAAAAGTTGAAATACCACAAGACAAAAAGTCCCAATGTTAGACTCCAACTGTGTGCTTTTATGGGGAATATAAGAAAAGCAGAGACTACTGTGCTGTCGTTTTTATGAATGACTGAAGACTTCATCTTTGTCAGTACCACATAGTCTTAAGTATTGGGACTCAAAGACGGATGGTCTGGGATGGTGATTCTCAACCGTCAGGGTTATGAGATAGTTTATGGGAGAAGGTTGTGGACAGTGACACACTTCAGAGGTTTTTATATCAAGCACTTTTCCTGATTACTTTCACATAATAATTTTAAAATAAGGTGGTTAACAATAAGCAACCCACAGGCTTTTCAGGGTAACCAACAATAACGATAACGAGTGGGTACATACCAATCAGGTACTTTATCACATTTTATCCAATGGATTGGGATCCACTGGGACAGTAACCAAAAGCACTTTTTCATGTTTTTATCTCCCTGAAAAACCAAAAGACGATTGGTATATTTAAGTCTCATAAAAGACATGCAAAAGACCTAACTGAGACAGCATCCAGAGGGTTAATTTTTACTTTTCATGCAGTGAAATGGGATCCAGTGCATCCAAAGCGCTCTTTTCAGAGGGCTAATATTGCCTTTTATCAGACAGAGGTGCATCTGAAAGGCAGTTTTGATGTTTAATCTTCCTTAAGGACATTTTTCTTTTATTAATTTTAATCAACCTGAATAAGAACACAGACTGATTAATCAGTCTTTTTAACCAAGTAGAGACGCTTAAGAGGCACCTTTTGTATTTTAACCATCTAAAAATATTCTGCTTTTAATCTAATGAAAGGGCATCTGATAGAGCAGTTTATTCAATTTCATCCACTAGAAGAGTAGATAGTGGGCTCATTTTTCTCTTTCAGTCTAACAGACAGGCATCCAATGTGAACTTTTTATGTTTTACCCATCACAAAAGACACTCAAAGGTCTTCTACTTTTAATCCAATAAAAGGGCACCCAGAGGACACTTTGGTTATGTTTTATCCAAACTTTACATGATTTCCACTTAGGGTTGTTTCAGTGCTGTGCAGACTGGCAGCATGTTTGGGTTGCAGCTCAAACTGAGAACCAGTGGTCTACAAGGCATCCTCTTAACCCCCAATACCTTATTCTTGTATTATTTTAATCTAATTTAAAGATTAGTCTTGGCTCCTAGTCTTGGCTCTGATACTCTGTCAGTACTCCAGACCCACTTGGAACTATCATGTTCTGGTTTTCTATCTGCATAGTTTCAGATTGTGTTAACTCAGTAAACAGATATCTTTATTTGAAAACAGACCAAGTTTTCTTTTGTGTCAGAACATCTCAGTTTTCTTTGTAGTCTGAGCAGCATTGTCTTCAAGTATGTGAGCAGGCTTTGGCTGCATGCAGGGAAACCATTTGTAGGCAGTGCACAGCAGCTCTAATGAAAAAGTGGAGACTCCTGATTTTTATCTGATTCAGTTTTTGAGTCATAGTTTTTTGATTATTGAATGTAGATGGAGCTAACCAGCCTTTAACACATCATCTTTCCTCTCCAAATCCATTTTTACATCTTAGGTTAGTGTAAACATTCATTAACATACGGTAAGGTCCATTTTCCTCTGCATCTTCTTTTCTTTAAAGCCACAAACCACATTAATAAAAATCACCCTATAAAGCATGTACCACTAGAAGCGTTATAGGTTTCAGATGACACCCTGTGAGTTCTGGGGTTGTGGATAACATTGTGAGAACAATCTGAATGGTGATCAGATAGTGGTAAAGTGTGTTGAATTAATCTCTTACATGTCAGCTGGAAATAGAGAAGAAAGGCCCAGTGATCTGGGTTAGCATATACAGGAGTGCATCCACATTATAAAGACTAATAAAAGACAACACAGGAACTCTAATACCACTGATACCACATGGAAAAGAAGACTCTAAAGGATCCAGCTTTTACAGCCTACATGGTTCGCTAAGGATGTACTGAAGGAGATGGTCTGGTCAACAGAGGATTTCCTGTTTCAGCTCTTCCTCTTGGGTCACACAGTAATAGTCCCTGTCACCTTCCAAAAGGTAGCCAGCTAGCCAACCAACCAGTGTTGTAGTTTGAAGTTGAGTTTTTTGCAGATTTGAGAGGGTTGTCTTCTGTTTTGTGGCTTCATTTTAGTAGAGAATCATTACAGCTTTAATTCTCAGGGGTCAAGATTGGCATTTGATGGTCAGGTTACGATAAGAGTGCCCTTTATTGGATCAAATGGCAAACTACTTCTGATGATCTGATGCGCTGAAAAACCCCAAGTTTGAACAAACTGGAGTTTCAGATGAGAAGTGACTTTAACATAACAAGCATCAACAGACTCAACCTACAGCAAATGCCACAGTGTAAATTTAATGCAGAAGCAAAGATCAGACTGCATTTTAAGGAGCCTTTGAAATGGGACAGCCTCTGATGCATTGCTGTGGTTTAATTGCTCTTCAAATGCACCCTTTAGTTTGAACACAGCTTTAAGTTCAACCACTCAGTCAGTCAAAACACAATGACATGTAACGGTTTAACCCATTCATGCCTCTGAACCCTCTTTGTATTTTCCTTCAGGTTTGATCATGACCAGTTCATCTGAATTCTCTCCTACTCTTCAACCATAAAAGCTGGAGCTGAGGAGGTCACACCGCCGACGTTTTTCTCATGGATCATCAATCCTCAGGCCAACACAGTCAAACAAGCCAAGTCCCGACCTTTCAGTGGCTTTCTTTTGCTTACCAGAATCTGAAAGAAATCCCCTATGAGACTATTCTAACATCCACAGAGACTCTGGAGGTGCTGGACCTAAGTAACAATCTATTGGAGGAGTATCCTTTACTTAATGACCAAACAACTGCACAGCCAATAAGACAAAAAAGGAGGTCCTTTGGTTTTACTGTTTCCTTTCTGCCTCAGCCTCAGCAGCATAGTAACAGCGTAGCTTGAATACAGGTTTACCATTTATGGGGTCATTCATCATTTCTAATGGATTTCACTTGCAAAACAGTCCACACCTTAAAGCAGACAAGGAAATGATTGAAATCCTGCTTTTGGAGATAAAGAGTCCATGTACAACCTTGGGAAATATCAGAATATCACAGTCTTTGGTTCATAAATGCCTTATTTTGGCAAAGATAACACCATAGTCATCCAAATGAATACTAACAGGGATTTTAACTCTCTAATTTGGTAAAAAATTACAGGATAAATCAGGTCTCGACATCTAAGACCTAATTTCCACCAGTTAAAAAAAAGATATCAACCTCTTAGAAAACACAGTTGTTGGTTTATATCGATCTGAATTTCGATAGGTATGAGGTAAATTGATATTTTAGTGAGCGCTAGGTGGGATTTTGACTCTGTTATTTGGTTAAAAAACTGGGTAAAATCAGGTCTCATCACCCAAGGACTTCCAAAATATGGCGGGGACATTAATATGTCAGAAAACACAATTCCTTGGACAAGTTTGATATTTTGTATCAATAACAATGAAGATGTTGACAATCCAGTGAGCACTCACTAATGTTTTCACACTGATATTATGTGGAAATAGGTTTTGGACATTCAAGACCATATCTCAGCCACTTTTCCACACTAGAGTCAAATTGTGGTTAAGAAAACACAACTTTGGATTATAACTGACTTTTTTTGATGATGGTGCCGTGGACTTCCCAATGAGCATGAACTGGTGTTTTTACTCTAAAATTGGTTATAAAACTAGTTCTGGGTGTGGAAGACCCCATCTTAGCCAGTTTTCATTAAGATAGCTAGTTCTGACGTCAACATACGGAAACCACATTTTGCTGTAACAACAAGTTGTTGATTTTAGGGTTAATGGAGGCCAGAGATCATCATTGTGATTTTTCCCCAAACTAAGTTTCCTGAGGTTAAAAAAACACACGTTAAACAATAAATTTCAAGCTTCTGTGAAGAGTTATCAGCTTACAGAACAAACAGAATTTAACATTGATGCCCTTATTTCTGTTGTGCTGTTGTAATCTTTAAAACTGCATGTGCAGCTTCTCAATTTCCAACCTCTTGATTACCTGTGGTGTGCTACCCTGATTGGCTGCCTAAATGTTTTGGGTTTTTTGGGTGCAGATGGATGCAGAGGTGGAAAAACACCAAAACAGTTATGGAGAGCTCTTCAGAAGAATCGGTGATAGCACCCTGCACACACAATTCGGGATCTAACAGGAGGAGCTGTATTTACAGTAGCATGTCTCTGCATTATAATTGAGTGCTAGTCCTACTTTCTTGTCTTTCTTGTGTGGTTGGCCATGTTAGTATGTCAGTGTAGGAGGATGTGGAATTGGGAGTGGGGGCGGCTCTGAATGCATGCCTTTGCTCATCACTTCTGCCATTACATCACCACAGGAGCTAATTTGAAACCTCTTGCTAAGCTGGAGAACAACTCGAGTTTGCATAGGCAAGGAGAAATGTGCCTCTCAATGTGCCTTCAATGACTGATGAAATTATGTTAATTGACCCTGATAGTGGTGAATGACAGGCTTGTTTGTCTAAGGTCATGAGGTTCAGTCAAGCTTTGATTCTTTATTATCTTTGTAGATTTACTTTGCCACTGTAACACAAGCATTTCATTGTTTCATATACAAGATGCAGCATGAAAACAGCCATGATTGTGTGGTGAATCTTGTGACTGAATCAGATGTCCTGGTGAAATCTGGTCCAAACATACTGTGGGTGTTTAATCAGTGTCTTTGTATAGTTAGTGGAAAAACTTTTAATGGGCAACCAGTGTTCTCTCATCTTTAGGGAAGCAATGATTGATTTTAGAAACAGTAAATATTTCTTTTTAAAGTAACCCAACCCAAAATGCAGAAAGAAAAGGGTTCCTTGTGGTTGTTTGTGCAAGATTGGTCCAGTGAGTGTGAGTTAAATTAGTCTCGCAAAGAGGAAACATGTTGAAAGTGAACCCTGAATTTAGCCTTAATAAAGGAAGGACCAAGCCAGGACAGAGTTAACACTGAGTATTGACAATAGCTGCATGTGTTTCTTCTCTGATCATAGACGCAGAGGTTTCTTAATTTTGACAATGTTTTGTCCACAAATCTGTAAAAGCATTGCAGAATAAAAGCTCAGCAGCACCAGTTATTAGTGTGCTATTGCCAAACTAAACTCTTCCTCACTCAATTAAAGGAAGAATGATTGTGTTTGACCATGATGGATACTGAGATGACGGTAATGAGCAGAATTGGTTAATCAAATTCATTACTCTGTCTGCACAGTTCACAAGATTGTAATAAGAACAGCTGAAATGACAGGCCAATGACTTGATTTGTACTTGTTACATCACCATGGGTGTTTTAGTTTTCTTCACCATTTACCCTCTGGGAGGTTGTTGTTTTAGCAAGACATGATGTTGATTCAGTCCATCGTGGTTTATTTGAGTTGCTGTAAAAGCTTTTGGTGGTGCTGCAGAAGAAAGACTAAAAGGAGGAGCTGGTGTGTTTGGCTGTTTGATTTGGATGATGGGGACTGGATAAAAGCAGCTAAACTGCTCAGCATCCATAGAAATCAGGTGCTAGACCGTCATATGGGAAAATAGCCACTCTATGTTAGCTGGTCAGCATCCATAAATACACCTAAAATGAATTTCTTTGTCATTTTTCGTACAATTTTGAATCATTTTCTAGATATTTTACTTTCTCACTGTGTAGGTTATTCTTCTTGTGTTGTACGTCTCAAAGACTAGTATCAGCAAGAGTTTTGTTTTATCTTTTTGTTGGTTTCTGTGAGGAAAAAAAACAACTGTTGCAGTATTTTAACTCGATTAGATGAGGAAAATAGCATTGGCTACTTAGTTTAAAAGGTGACGAGGTATATTCAAAAAAGGATTTCCAATTATAACAAAAGACTAGACTTCCAAGCTCAGATTTGGACCTGTAGTACCAAACTGTGAAAACTCTTCCTATCGGGATTCTGTTAAATTGCAGGAGATGGGCGCTCAAATACTATATAGATCCCACAGTTTACAGGGAACTTAGTTGTTATTGATAACTTTAAAAATGTATGAGTATTATGGGTACTTTGGTCGTTTGACTGAAACACCTCTGTTTTTCACCTATTCATGTCATGTGACTGTAGAAGAATGGATAACAATGACACTTAGTGGTAACGGTAAATTGGGATGATTTCCTTTGCTCCTCATTGGTCAAAGTCTGAAGGGTTCATCCTCTGGGGAGTTTAAACATTGTTTTTTTTAGCATTTGGTTCTGTTGTTCTAAATTAGGAAACTCCTGCTTTAGACTTGTATCTTGAATTTAGAGTTTCAGTTTTTGTGGTACAGCCAAGATCAACATGTTGGTTTGCTGAAGGACTATTGAATTAGGCCGATAAGTAACTTTTTTGATGATGGGGCTGCAGGAGAAGTTTATCCAGTTGGCAAAGTCAATGCTAATTCTTAGTTTAACAGTATTGTATCCTTTTGAGGTCCAGGTCTTTGGTGGGGATTAACAAAGTCTTGGATTGCTTGGTTTTAAACTCTGTATGCAGTGTTTGGTTCATGTGGTGCCAAAGTGGGGGAACTCTTGTCTTGGACCCTTTCCATCTCCAGCGGCCCAAGATCAACATCGGCCGCTGCATGGCACCAAATATCAAACATTGATAAGGTCAACAGAAAAGTCTTGAAAGGAATTGTGTTACACGTTGGTGTTTTCTTTATCTGGTGGGGCTATAAGAAAATTAACACAGTTACTTGTTGAGTTGTTTTAGAGGTATTCTCTCCATTGGTTGCCAAGATAAGCTTGGATCGAAAAAGCTAAGAGGGCTCTTTCTCCAGGTATTAAAACACAAACTACTGCTAAGACTGATGGAGATGTCTTAAGTTTGGAGTTATTCAGTTGTTTTATGGTGTTTTCTGACTGAAAATGGGGCCAAAGGAGAAGTTAGGAGACCCATATAAGGAAAAGCACTTGGTTAAATGATCATCAGTTCATTAGATGTTACTGCATCTATCTTGGTCTGACAAAGTTATAATCATCATCTGGAGACCAAAACTTTGTTGACACTACATAAAGAATCATCCAATAATTGTTGAGACATTTTAGCCAAGATTTAAACAGTAGACCCGCTGACTCATCATTGTTGGCATGGCTCAGGACTGATTGTTGACTTGTCTATATTTGCATAGATGTTTTAAATTGACCCATCTCAGAAGAAATACTCTTGGGCCAATGTTTGTGAATTCAAGGGTCCAAGAGTTTCAGGATCTTAGATGATGTCAGGGACTCTGTAAGAGAATCCTCACTGTGTGTTCTCCTTTATTGAGTACTTATTGGAACCCGGCTCTGCTGGGACGGCTGGAGAAGCTCAGTACGCTGATCCTGGACAGCAACAACTACACGTCGCACATCAAGTTCCCATACATGCCAAGCATCACCACAGTGTGCATCAACAAGAACAAGATTAACAATCTGCCAGTGTTCGTAGAGGAAATCAAACGGAAATTCCCAAACATAAAGTAAGACCAGGACTGTTGAGCATCTCTGGTTGGGAACTATTGGATAATCTGTGATTTTCATTCTTTTTGTCTTCTTCTTTCAAACTCAGAATCCTCAGTATGATGAACAATGAGGCAGCACCAAGCTATTTTAATGGAGGAACACTTACCCAATACAAAGACTACAGGTGAGCACCAAGGTCTCTTTTCTTAGATCACAGAAACCAAACCAGAAACATTTGAATAAACTGATTTGAGCATTTTTACACAAAAAAAAAGTAATTTAACAAGTTAAAGAAGCCGTTTAAGCAAATACAGAAAACTTGGTAAATTTCTCTGCCTGGATCAGGCACTGTAGGGGGGTGGGGGGTGGGTGGGACTTGTGGCTTGCCATGGCTGTGCTAATACGTTAACAGATTCACAGAGTTTACATACTTAGCATTCCATAGTTTTGGCGTATCGTTAAAGGAAAAGGCTGAACTTCTGATTTCCTTCCAAAGAACTGGCCCTGAAGGATTGTAAAAATCAACAAAGCAAGCCTTAAAAAGCAGTAACTTTAACTAACTTTTGCTGGCAGGCTGACATTTCGGTTATTTGCCAGTTTTTCTTGATTATATGGTGGCAGCTTTCTTAACTGATTGTAGTTGATGAATGGATTGTTCTGGAAGACTGTGAACAGCCAGATAGCTTTTAACTCAGTGCCTGATCTTTGCAGCATTTCTTAAGTGAAAGAAAGCTGCTTTGGTCTCTTTCTTTATATGAGATTAAAAATGTAAGACTTAGCTGAGGATAATACCCAAACTCATGACTCCTGATTTAATCCATGGTTATGTGTACATAAAGAACAAATGAAGCTTTATGAACACACCAGCTACCGGCCTCTTTGTAACACCACAGCAGGTGTGTCAACTTTATGAAACAAGTCCATTTGTTGAACTTGAGATATGATAACCTTTTAATACAATCTCTCTGTGTTTAGTCATGACGTAAGTAAATACAGTCACCTGTTAGTTTAGGTTTAGGGTTTGACAACAAACTAGGGCAAGGTTGACTGCCTGAATTGACTCGACTCCAGTTCACTCCAAGTCCCAGTTGGATTGGATCTGATTCAGTTTGATTTACTTTTGATATAAAAGTTTGTTTCAGTGTGAAAGAGAAAGGACATACAAAAACAGAAGTAATCAGAGTCAGCAAGTTTTAGACAATACTTCACTTTGGTAAACTGCATAACATGCATGTAACTCTTGCAGGGTAAAGGTTAAGCTCAGATGGAAAAGGTATTACCTTACAAAAAGCCTCGAGCAATGTCACTAGAGCTCAGGATGCAGCCAGAAAGAGTGTTTGGTTCTGTCGATCCTGCCGACAACGCCAAAGTAGTCTGGTTGAGAAGTTTCACCCAGTTTTAACTAATTCTATGGGTATAGTTATATCTGCTTCATTTATTTGGTCAGACACACAAATCAGCTCTTGTGTTCCAGTTACCTGAGAAGTCGGAACTGGGAATGATGCTACACCCGAGTTGACAGCATTCCACTTAACAAGTCAGAAAACCAAGATGGACGCCTACAGTTAGCTGTTGTTAGCTGTTGTTTACAATAGTCAGCTGTCATTAGCCGTTGTCAGCTGTTGTTAGTCATTGTCAGCTGTTGTTAGCTGTACCAGTTGTAAACAACGCATAACACAGTATTTTACTCTACAAACACCATAGCACCGTGTTCACAGTTAGACCTTGGGCAGTACATCATATACCACTTACTTAATTTCACAAAAACTTAACAGAAGTGCCAATAAATCATACATCACGAGAGCTTTCACTGTTACTCTTTACTGTTGATGCACTGCACCTCCATCTTGGATTATGACGTTGTCATCAAGTTGGGGTTGGCGAGGATCGCCCGGCTTTCCGAGCCGGAAATCCGACTTCAGGGAGGTGTCCCAGATTAATTTCCAACTTGGAGCTCGGAAATTCCGACTTCCGAGTATAACTGGAACGGTACATTATATACACGCCTCTCCATTATAGTGACAACAGACCCGGTCTATCCTTTGGGGTAATGATCTCACTGGAACAGGAAAAGCCTTCTTTCTTATCAGATATGAGCAGATCACTGACTGCCCCCTACCAAAGCTTATAACTCTTGCGTTTGGACCTGTACACAGATCTCGTTTTCTCTGTGTTTTTGTTCTTTCCAGACAGTATGTCATCAGCCAGATTCCAGGCCTTGAGATCCTGGATGACACAGAGGTCCTGGAAAAGGAGCGAGCCCAGGCCAGAAAAACCTACAGGCTTCAGCAGAGCAGACAAAACAGGAGGAGAAGAAGGGAGGACTCGTCAAAGAAACACACGCACACGCAGAAAAAGTCAAGTGCTATCATAGGAGAATAGTTTATAGTAAAGTTTTTGAACCCCTCCCTTTAAATCCCACCTTTATCTGCTTGTTTCAACATGTTTACACTGAGTTAAATATTCAAATGTTTTATAAAGCTGCGCTATTAAATAAAAAAAGGAATTATTCTATGTGGCTGCTGCATCTTTTTCTACCTCTAACCTAAAAATGTGCTGGAAAAGTCAGAAAAAATCAGACAATCTGAAGCATAAGCAGGGCCATATTTGTGCTGTCTCATACTTGTACCACTAGAGGGAGCTAGAGTAAAACAGACAGCACTCATGGACATATGACTATGTTCCACTGTTCGCAGATGAGAATATAAATGCTTCCCCCTAGCCCCAGAGGCTTTCACAGACGGCCAGATAACAATAACTGCATACAGACTGACATTTGACACCGGCTCTCCTCTTTTCAAACCTGCAGCCACACCCTGAGAGTGAGAGGGACACTGAGACCTGCTTCTATTCAGGGTTTTACGCTGTATAGGGTCTGAAATAAAACCCCAAGCTGACTTGCATTAATTATTCATATGAGTGACACAGATTCAGAAACAGTCTGAGAGGCTGAGTCTCATCCTCTGTCATCCAGAAAAAGACTTTTTAGGGAACACCCTCATATTTCAGCAAGACAATGACAAACCACATTCTGCAGGGATTACAACAGCATGGCTCTGTAGTAGAAGAGTCCTGCTGATAAAGTGGTCTGCCTACAGTCCTGATTTTTCCCCTATTGAAACATTTGGAGCATCAAGACACCAAAAACAGCAAAAAGGAGGCTCCAAATTGTTGAGCAGCTGAAATCCTCTATCAGGCAAGAATGGGACAACATTTCACTTTCAGACTCCAGAGATGTGTTGTCTTGAATGACAACCAGGTTTTATTAGTTTCCACTGAATTGCTGCTGATTTCTCTTGTTATTGTTGTGCACAAATGCAAACTGGTATTTTTACTTCCTAAGTGTGAAACATGAAGCTTCCTGATTATAAAACATTTGGTGCACTGTGGTCAAAGTTTGCAGCACACTGCAAAACAATGGGGAACAGAGGACTCTTGCTGATCTTTTGTTCTTATGTATTATTTTTGCAAACTCAGATGATAGGTAAAAAAAACAAAAACGTCCAAAATCATCTAAATCCGTAGATTTTAGTCTGTAGTCTGGGCTTTTGACTTCCTGTATAAAGAGAAGCATAATTTCCAGAAGTCAGTGAGATGCTTAGTATAACTTCATCATTTGCGGAAGTGGTTTGAAGTTCCTGTTATTGAGCAGATGCATGTGAGAGATGACTGTCAGACTTGTTTGCATGATGTGGTTTAAGAAACTTTAACTTCAGATAAAAAAGGGCGCACTGAGAAACAAAAGTCCGACTTTCTTGTCAAATATTTTATGTTTCTTTAGTTTCCTTTTAGTTTACACAAATTCTTACCTCATACTTTGCTCTGTTTGAAATCAGCTCTCTCTTTTGTAAACTTCATTATCTTATCACAGTTCCTTCCTCTGCTGCTAAACCCCCCCACCTTCTTTGTTGATGTCTTGTATTCACCATGATTTCTCTGCCTCAAAATGTGTGTCTGTGTGCCTTCACTGCCCCCAGTGTTTCAGCAGCATATGCAAGCACAAGACTAAATTCTGGCTGATGAAGATTGCACTTTGAGTCATTGAGTCCACCTGTATTCCTGCATGTAAGTAAAAAGTCCTATTGGAGTAGGAGAGGTGGAAGTATCGGCTGTGAGATCAATCTTAAGACACTCATTCAACTATAACATCTTGATACTGATATCAGCATACAAGTGCAGCAACCAACAACACTCTCTGTAAAGCTGTCCAGTCTTGCCTCCTAAATAGACTGTAAACAAAGGCAACACACAGAAAACTAAGTACTGGTCTGAGCCCCTTTTGTTCACTGCTGGCTGTACCAGAAATCCTGAAAAGGTATTCTTGGTGTGAGAGGCTTTCTTGACACATAACAGTCAATCGCCCCTTCTCACCAATCACCTGGCTGTGTTGACCCCATCACAGCAGTTATTTAGTCAGGATCACTTTTATCAGACAGTAATTGTTTGGCTAATTATATAATATTTGGCAGTATGGTTCTGTCCTGAAAGCTCCTGGCCTTTCCACATTCATACTGAGAATGCCAAAGACTGAGGTGGGGAGAGCACACCTCCATTTAATGTGTATGCATGAGAAGGTTAAGCTGGTAGAGCAGCAGCAAAGACACCTATTTTGTTTATTTTGTTTATTTGTTAGGATCCCTTTTAGCTGCGCTCTGGAGCACCACTGGTCTTCCTGTGGTCTTACCCTAACCCTAACACTAGAATCGCATTTGTTCGCACACTGTGTTGTAAGTTTTGGGCAAATCAGTACGTACTGCTAGTATTGTATGCGAATTCGGCCTGGGTGTTGTACTTGTGTCCGCTTTCATACATAATTCTGATTAAATACCTGTTGTTTGTGTGTGAAGGTAAAGTGCATTGTCTGCTGCAGAATGTTGGGAAGGAAGTCAGAGTTTCCTTTCCTTCAATAGAAAGCCTCTGTCTTTTATGATCCCCCTGTATGTTGTGTGTGTGTGTGCGTGTGTGTAATAAATAATATTACACAATAAACACATTCAGGACACACAAAGAGGTCATGTTTATTCTCTTATTCAGACCCTGCAGTAAATCCTTATATAAGGGGAAACGTGGCGTTTGTAATTGCCTTATGTGTTACCTGTTTGTGGATCTTTGTGTGTGGTAAAGAAAAATACACTTTTTAGAGCAAGGTGGTTTCAAAGTATATCTCTCTCATTCTTTACACCATAGACTGTATATACTATGGAGAACTTGGTTCCGCCCTCTATCATTGTACAAATTTGAAGCCAAAAAGATCTCTGTATTTCCGAGATTTTCTCCACTTCCTGGGACCATCACTTGCGCAGTAGCATTGTACGACGCCGTGATGATGCTCGGTTCAAACAGTGTATCTACGCAATCCTCGCACACCCATAGGCTGTATCAAGTGTAAATCATAGAAAACATGAACCCCCTAATAACTTTTAAAAGTGGAGCTGTACAGAAAAAAGGGGACTTTAGCACAAACCAGTCTTACTGTAACTACATGTCAACATCACAAGCAGGGGGGAGAAAAATTTATATTCTGTGTAATTAATTTCTAAAGTTTGTCCACAGCTCCATTGGGATTGCTGGAGGAGGCAGGATTTATGACCTATACTGCAGCCGGTCACCAGAGGGTGCTGTTCTCGTGGTTGCTTCACCCAGTGAGGAGTTAGACAGCATCCATTCTATATACAGTCTATGTGTCAAATATAAACTTGGCTTTTTCATGGAAAAATTACAGTACCTATAGTACCTGCCATCAGCGCCTAAACTGCTTCTAAGTATAGCATCCAGTTCATCATACCAGGGACACTTGTCCTTTTCCTCTCCGGAACTCCCGCTCTGTCGAAGGACATCTCAGACCTTTTGATATTGCTGGCACAATTTTTTTACTTTAATCCGACATTGTTCAGGTGTTTGTTTAAAACCCATTCCCCCCATTTTCTCACTAAACTGTTTAAAAATGTCATTGTTTTTGTGAGAGGATGCCAGAAGTAGGTTTATGCTGTCATCTCAGCATATTTCAAGGAGAGCTTTAACCTCTGTCCACGTCTGTCCTCTCGCCATGTTTGTTTTGGTTTGGCGTGCACGCTGTGCTTCCTCTACCCAAGATGCACTGCGTATGCACTGCGTGTAGCGTCATTACGTACATTTGGTCCTGTGTTTGGTCCGGTGAGCTTTCACACTGCATATGAAATGAACCAGGGTTCACGTGACCCACGTTTTCAGGCAGACCAGAGTTCACTTGTTTGGTCCTGCCCACACCTGCCCAAACGAAGCGGACTATCCGAAGAAACGAACTCTGGTCCATTTAAACCGGACCAAACAGCTCTGGTGTGAAAGTGACCTAAATGGTTTGAAGTGTGTGAGAAACTTTAGCAGCAGAGTTCTAAACATGATCACTTCAGGGTGAAGGTTGATCTGGAATATCCAACCAGAACACAGACACTTCAATTCAATTTAAAAGAAGCCAATTTCATTCTTGCTGGCTTTAAGAAACTGAATCATCAGATCTTTCAGTGAACATGTACCAAACAGGTCCACTGGGATTATGTTGCAGTAAGGGCGGCCCATGTTATCAGAGGCTTACTGAACCAATCAACATGACCATGTAATCATAGCTGGGGTTTAAAATGGCTGTAAAAATCCTGTGGCCTCTGTCCTCTGAACTTTGACCTGCCTGTGTGATTGTCTTAATTTGAAGTGCAGGAGTCATGTGTGCATGTGTAAACAAGAAAAAGATCTCATCAGAGCAGCAACAAATATGCAGTGAGTCAGTCTCTTGACTGGTCATGTTCTGCAGGAAGGGAAATCCTGCTTTTACTAATTTAATCCCCCGAGCCACAGAAATGACAGACATCTGATCACTTATTTGATGGCCTCACACAAAGAATCAGACACTTCCCCGCTGCTGGATTTGTTGTCACAGGCTTTACCTGGAGAAGCCAGAGGAAAACCTGCAGAGAAAAGCAAATGTAATATATTAATCATAATAGTTTAAAAGTGGAAGGATTCATGGACAGAGAGCTGCAGCAACATGCAGCACAGTCTGAAAATATTAACAAGAACTCATCCAGCTGATGACTCACTGAGATTTTGCACATATTCTTTTTATTAGCAGGGCTTGAGGAGGAATGAAAGAAATGATAAACGGAATGAGAAAGTGCACAACATTCTGCTTTCATAAGTCAAAAACCTGAGCTGTTTTTGAAGCCTTTTTGGGAATCTGCATCCACTTAACAAATGAGCTGATCCACACAGACCCTGAGGTTTAAAGCTGTTGTTGTTTTGTGTGTTTGAAATCCTACATTCAACTGGTGCATCAGTATCTGCTGTGCTTCAACCTGTTTGTCATTAGCACCAGATTTTTCACTATGGCAAATGCGGACACTTCTCTTGTTCTGGTCTACAGCTCTGACTGCAGCTTATTCTGGTGAGTTAAAACGAGTGGCGCTGACTCGAGAGGTCAACAGTTTAGTTAGCTGCAGGGTGTTGTCTCTGCAAATTTGGAAAAGTGGCCACAAATTGCAGCTGACGTTAGCCCTTTGGACTTTAAATAACTGAGTGTCGTGATGCTTACAGTAACAGGGACATTAGAGCTGAATGGGAGAGTCGGCCGGTCATGACAGGGCTGAAAGTGCCACCAGAACTCTAACTCCAGCTGCTGGTCCTGAGATCCACCTCTAACAGGTTTTCTAACTCGTATCTTACACAGCTTTTAGTTTCCTGTTACCCTTTCAGACACTGTAGTCTTAATATCGTGCCTAAAAACCCCCTCTCTACCTCCTGTGATGGTCATGGGACTAAGACCTGAACATTTTCCTGTTTCAGCTGAAGTGAGTCCCTTAAATGGTCTATAAAGTAACTTCACTCAGACATGTGTGTCTCTATAATGTTGTTGCAGCCATGAAGCTGCAGACGTGGCTCTGCATCCATTAAACCCTCCGTGCCTGTCAATCACTAATTAAAAAGGCATGTTGCAGCTCTCTCTCAGTCTGCTTCACATTCAAGTGTTGCCTGCTCTTTATTCCTCTGGGGAATTTGGAGAGTGGCCACTAAACATCCTCCTCCTCCTCCTCCTCCTTCAGCCCAGACTGCAAAAACTGCTGCTTCAAAGACTTCCTGACATCTGGCCACAGCAGTCATCGCTGGAGGGTAAATGGGAAGATGGATGGGCAGGGCCAGCTGATGAACAGGACCTGACAGACGGAGTTACATTTAGTTTTCGCTGCGTGTGATGCTTTAAAAGAGCAGCAAATTGAGCCTTCAAAATAAGTTACCTGACTTTAAAAGCAAACAGTTAGTATTAAATGTCTGAGAGTAACCAATTAAAGGCTGCAAAAAATAATTTGTGGAAATTTTGGTACAAAAATTTGACATAAAAATCCAACAAACCTTCTATGAGGCCAAATTAAACTAAGAAAGTTTCAAATTAAAGAGCTTTTCCCCTAAAGAGCTATAAAATTTACACTGCCATATCTTAAATTTTCTGTTATGATTTTGTTTATTTGGGTTTGTATGTATATTTGCTGATATAATTCATTTTATTCGCAACATTTGCTAACTTAATGATTTTTTAAAGATAAGTTAACCTGGTATTTATGACCAAGGCATTATGTATTTAATCATTTCCATTACAGATGCTACATCCTTTACTACAGTATATAAATGGATGAAAACCTCTTGTTAAGTAAAGACTTGGTAAAGACTGTATAAATAACAACTGCTCTAAAAACACAACAATGATGTTAGAAATGATAATAACACAAGAATGAGAAACTAAAGCGATGTACACTAATAATACCACTCAACATAGAGGCATATAAGGTGAGACTGAGAGGTTGGGATATTCAGTGGGCCACCCTGGAAATAGGGCACACACACTAACACACTGATGGTGCCCTCTGGCAGGATTATTCAACAGGGACACTGTGTGCATTTTAAGCAGATCTGGAGCTCTGCTGCCTCTGCTTGACTCTCATTGCTGTTGTTATTTAATACTTAATTATTGACTTTAATATCCGTGTTCAGTCCCAGTGAACAAACAAGAAGGAAAGGCAAATGTAGAGAGATAAAGCTTGGAAGTAGTTCATCGCTCTGTTAGACTGCAGTGAAGCATGTATTTGACTACAACGAGACCGGAAACGATAGGTTTTTGCCTTCAAAATAAGAGATGTTTCATTTTTTTTGGTCACATTGCAGTCACTATATACCTGACTTGACAGAATAATCTTGATTACTTCTGAGACATTTAAAAAACTAAGTAGTAAAAATGAACAATGCGGAAAATGAAATGCATAGTATCTACTGACAAAAAAAAATACTGTTGGATATACATTTAAAATTCCTCTTATGTAACTAGGGGTTTACCTGCAATATCAAATCCTACACTTCGGGGATAGATTAAAATAGTGAAACGCAAATAAACTAATAAAAGACATTTATAATATGAGCTTTGAAATGTAAATTTAAAAAATAAACTGTGTTGACAAAGGTAGCATTCTGGGGGCAAAAAGGAAAAGACAGTTGTTTCCAAATCCCCTTTCCCCCAAAACTATATTTCTTGAATTGGAATGTGATGAACAGGGCAAGGCCTAATTAGGGGCTGTTTTACTGGAACACTATTATCTTTTTATGCCTTGACTGTTCTATGCATCATTTTTTCCAGGCTTTGTTTTCCCACGTTGTTCCCTGTAGTTGTCAAACTGTTACATTTAGATTCTGCATTGTGTAAAAACATACATTTTTGTTGTACAACCATAGGCTGTATATACTACGGACAACTTGGTTCCACCTTCTGCCAGTATACGGATTTGAAGCCAAAAAGCTATCGGTCATATCACATTTTCTTTTCATTTCCTGAAACCAACATTGCGCAATAGCATTGTACGCACTCCACCACTTGCGTGGTAGCATTGTGCGCATTCGGCATTAGAGTCACTGATAGTCGCTGTGATGGCGCTCGGCTCAAACAGCGTCTCCCCGAGGGTTAGCTACGCAATCTTCGTACGCCCATAGGCTGTATCAGGTGTCAATCATAGAAAACATGAACCACCCAATAACTTTTGAAAAAGGAGCTTTACAGAAAAAAAGAGGACTTGAGCACAAACCAGTCTTACAGTAACTACATGTCAACATTGCAAGTGGGGGGTGGGGGGTCCACTCGGAGTGGCGTCACCCAGCGAGGAGGCAGACAGCGTCCATTTGATATGTCTATGGCTGTGTCCGAAACCTCAGTGATCAATTCCAATGCCCCATATAGGCAACTCAAAATTTTCCACAGAGCATTGCAAAATGTAGTGACCATCCAATGGTCACTTACTAGTGGTGGGCATCCAGTCATGCATTGCGTCTTGCAATATAGTGTCCAAAACCTCCAGTGATTGAGTTCACTTCATAGTCAGCTATATAGTGAAATCCCATATGGGGGTCAGGGATTGAGTGATTCATTTCGGACACAGCCTATGTGTATAACTAACACATATATTTTATTTCTATTTCAGTGTTTAAGTTCTTTAGAAGGATAAAATATGGCCATGCAAGAAAGCGTCCAGAGATAAGACAGACATTGTCCCCCTCTTTCACTCGGTGGGGATCCAAAACTAGCATAATGACCTCTTCAAGGACACGGTAGGGCACTTGAGTTTTATTTTGAAATATAAATAGGAAGTAAATATTTTCGCTCCTGTAGCTTGGCCCTCGTGCCGCTACCTGTCAAACGGTCAGTACTCAGTGCTGAACTGAAATGCCGGCTGTAACCACCAAACGGCCGGACATTAACGGCCGTTGTATGGATCTAAACCCGGGATTTTTACGTGATAATACCTGGTGAAAAAATGGCGGTTTCTAAACATGACCTTCCCTCAGAGGACTGAACACCGGCTTGGACACCGTCTCTTTTTCTCGTCCCGGGGGGGATTTCTTCTTCTTCTTCTTCGCGGCGCCTCTCTTCGCACAGAATGGGAGCTGGATGAATTGACAGTGAGACGTGGACCCAGGCTGATCAACCGGGGACAACAGGAGCCTGCTGTAGCCTGATATAGAGCATTCAAACCCGGCATGACCTACATACCGCAGAGCTTAACGGAGGGTCTTCAGGACATCTCTGCTATATGGAGGCACCGAGCGGCGTCCTGTTCAACCTTGTAACACAGCAATAAGTGACCTTCAGTTTTATTTGCTGCTATACAACTATGCAGGAGAAGACACGTGAATGTGCACAGGGCTGATAAGGGAGGGAGGACCTCTGCAGAATAACGGAGCAAGATAATAACCATTGCGTGCTGCAGGTTTCACTGACCTTTTGAGTGGCAAGAGGAAAGTAGAGTGAAAAATTAATCCAGCAGGTGGCTTTAAAACACAAACAGCTATACTCTCCACATTTACTCCAATGTGCTACCGGATAACAGACTCTGCTGTATGGATTTGCGTAAGGGGCCTGCGTGAGCTGGGATCAAATGTCCAAAGAAGAGCTTTGCTGGAAGTTGCTTTCAACTAATGGATGCCTTATCTTATGAACGAGAGAATGCACTGAGGGGATCTATGGAACTATGAAATTATCCACCCAGGAAAGCAATAAGTAATACCTTTAAATCAGATTCCCTCATACTTTTTGTCGTCATTATGCGTCTGAATTGTGGTCAGCCATTACCTCTCCTGAGGCACACAGATGTGCCGCCTCGGGTCATAGAAAACTTCATCCTGACGGGGTACCGTTTCCCAAACTACAGCCTGAGGGAGTGCTTACTATCAGCATTCAGGCCGACGAATGAAACTGGCAACTTCTGGACTCACTTCCTCCCTGTTTTTGTCTTTTCCTTCTATTTCGTGGAGGTGTTTGGTTGGCAAGGCGCGCCACATGGCGATTCCCCCTTCTTCTACCCCTTCTGGAACTACTTCATCGGGGTGTTTTGTCTGCTGATGGCAAGCAGCATGGCCCACCTGCTGAACTCCATGTCTCTGGTGGTTCGAGAGGTCTGCTTCTTTGTGGATTATGGCACTATCAGTGCTTACACTGTTGGCTCATCTTTGGCTTACTACTATTACATCCACCCTCAGGCAGGGATAGTGAAGAGAGGAAGCCACAATGGGTCCCATATGGAGCTGGAACACGAACCTGCAGAGCCTCTTACATCATCCTATGCAATTCCAGAGTTTGGCATGTTCTTCGACACCTTCTACATCCCCAGTGCGTGTCTCGTAGCCATCATCTGCATCTTGTCTTGCTGCAACACACGCCAGAGATGGAGGAAACATCGATATGTCATCAGAACCCTTGTTTTCCTGCTCCCATTCCTCGTCTCCTCCACGCCAGTCTTCTACCGCCTCCTCACCAGGTCGCCTTACTCCTCCACCTCTTCCTCCTTCGCCGCCTCTAGCTCCACCTCCACCTTCTTCTACCGCCACTGTTTCTGGCTGGTGGTCTCCGCCGTCTTCAACATCAGCAAATTCCCAGAACGGCTCGCTCCAGGTCGCTTCGACATCTGGGGGCACAGCCATCAGTGGTTCCACTGCTGCACGTTTCTGTCCATCCTCGACGAACTCCACATGATCAAGGCCGAGGTCAAGGCGATCCTTCTTAGTCCGACTCTGCTGCTTCCCCATGACACCCTCCCCCTTCTGCCCGGACCTACTGTTGCTTCAACATACGGGGTGATGCTCCTCCTCCAAACGACCATCATATCCATCATCGTGTGGTTCTCCTGGCAGGCCAACTGCATCTACGGACCGGAGAGGGACCAGCTAGCAAAGGAGCACCCCAAGAAGCACCTGAAATGTCACTGATTGAGACTTTTTAATCGTTCAGACTGTGAAATAAGTTTGCACGTTGATACAGAGCCATGCCACTAGAAGAAACGCACACAAAATCCCCCTGCTGATTTGATGCCTGTCATAAGTTTCTGACCTCTTGAGAGCATTGTGCATGCTTTCATTGGGGCCAAATTTGGGACAAAGGGAGATGAGAGGATTATATTCTGAGCTCACCACAGGGTGGCTGTCTGGTTGAGTGAATATTCAGAGACCTTGCCAGCTCAGCTTCAACATGTTCGAACAGGATGTCAGGTGACAAAACTACCTCCAAGGATGGTTCCCTCCAGGACAGAAGAAAGGTGTTGGTACCCAGGAGAACACATGTTCCATTTTAAGACGTGGGCAATGTGGCGGAGACATTAGCCTGACCACATGTGTTGTCTGCAGTCAGGCACTTTAAACTGCTCTGCTGTGGTTGAAACTGAACTCTATGGAGGACGAATAGGGCCAAATTTAGATAAATAAGAAGCTGAGCTCAAAATTCAAAGTTTTATCGAAGGATTTAGACATGAGAACTTAATGTTAAAGACCTAAAAGTCAGAGTTTAAAGTTGTAGCATGAAAATGTGATCATATCCCACCTTTAAGAAGAAGGGCCCGATAGGAAGTCTAATTTTATATTGGAGAAAAAAATTTAAAATGCATAGAAAAGATAATGATCAATTTAAAAGTTTTTTGTTTAAAATGTATGCATTTGAGATGATTTTGTACACAGGATAGAGGCTAAGAAAATAGATTGTGTGAGAAAGAAACAGCTGATTAACAAGCTAACTTATTAAGAATTGCAAGATGAAACTTTTTGTCCAAGTGTGCTACCGTACCATGAATGAAACAAGATTAGGAGGGTGAAAAGATTAACATCTTTGCTTAAAGGGGGTTTCAAGAGCTGACACAAACTGAAAGTTCCTCACAGGAGCTTCGATGAAGGCTTTATCAGCAGTGTGCACTGACTCACTTGGTACCACCCTTCCTGCCTGTGGTTTCAGTTGTTAAGAATATCAACGGTTTTTTAGCTCATGAAGAGATGTCACTTTTACTTTCAGTTTATTTCACAACTAGCTTAAACCTCCTCACAGCAGCCTAAAGGTCCTTTCACACCAGAACCGTTTTTGTCGTGCGATTATTTCGGGATGCGTCTTTCCCCCCCAGAAAGTCGCAAAATCGCATCGGGCTTGATGTGTATGGTCAGGCCCGTCAAAATTCACCTCTGAATATTTCGTAATTTCGCGTTCTATATTCGCGTCGGCCCCAGTGTGTAAGGACCTTTAAGTTAAAAAAGGTCAACAATGAACAAGGAGCTCTGAGGCTGCTTTAGATTTTTATTTTTAAAGAAAAAAAAATTAAAAAGCTGTTGAAAAAACGTGCTCAAAGAAAAAAAATTAAGAGATTTTAGGTTTTTTATTTCAGATTTGGAATGTTTTCTTTTTTTAAATCTTATTTACATTTTCCATTTCTGCCAGATGGCCTTTTTCGTCCTCCATAAATCTCAAACTTGACTCAGTTTATCCTCGTTTCTGACCTTTGGTAACCTCACATGTTCACACACACACTCTCATTTCCTCTCTACTTCCACGTGACCCACGTAACAGGAAGTGTGGTGGCCTTGATGAAGCTGCAGAAGAATTTGAGAGCTGGTATCAGAAAAGCACTTTCAGAGGGGCTGCTCGTAAAAGCCCCATCATCGAGTCGCCTTGTGCGATTTTTAACCTCATAGGATATTTGGGGAGCATGTATTGACGTCCTGCTGACAGGTTCAGCAGATATTTAAATGTATAATGTGTCGTAGAGCTGCTCTCACATCTGCTGTATGTTTGGTTTCCATTAAGCTGATGACTTATTCCTCATGGGTCTTGTTAACAGTGCTTGGACTGCAGATTAAACAGGATGTAAATCAGTTTTTCCCACGTCACAGAGAGGTGGTTTACATGCTAATATTTTCTATGTCAAATCGATCATTCCAGAGAATACCTGACTTTCAGGGCCAGTTCAAACTGCTGTATGTGAACATTACAAAACCAGGAGGACGGAGCCACAGGCCGCTGTGTACAGTTTTCTCTTAGAGCAAAAGCCATAAAGTGATGTAGTGGTAGTTCAGATTTTGGCAATATTTTCTTCAGACTGTATCATCAGGACCTTCCTGCATAGATTTGCACTGACAGATAAGCAGATCAGGTTCGTATGTAACTTTGTCTAGTGTCTCTTTCATGTGTTGTTATGCTAAGATTAGACAGATGAGCGTCCAGGATATAACCACCAGTTCTTTTTCAAAGGTATCTACCGCCAGGAGTTTCTTATTTTTAGTACAGAGGCCTAAATGGGAATGCCAAAATAATCCCTTTAGATTTAATTTTGTCCTACTTAGTTGAAAAGTTTTCAAACTTTGTTGTTGAAGGACTAGCTAGACGTTTAAGAATAAATAGATTGGAATAGAACAGCATGACAAGAGGACCACGAGCATTAATCTGCGTTTATGACTCCTAGCTCCTCGCTAAAAGGATGAAATCTAAATCCTGAAAAAAGGAAAAACTAAATTAAAATAAATAAATGTGTTTAGCCTGTCCAAAACTCCAGCCTTTTAGTTCCAGTTTGGTTGGATCAACTTTCTGACAAAAACCCACTCTGGATTAGTTTTTAAATGGAGTTTTATACAATTTCTTTTTGCTAAAATGTCCTCATGTTTTCTCTTCCAAACAGTGATCAGTGCCCTTTTATCTGCTGGTGTAGCTGACAGATAAATTTAGCAAACCTGCTGAATTTTTTAAAACTCTTTACTCTTGTTTTTTCAAATATCTCCTGGAGGACATAACAGAAATATCGCCCAGGATATTTGACCGTGTTGTTTTGTTCGGCTGTATTTTTATTTCTGCTGAGTCATGGTTGGCTGCAGCTTCATTTCTGCTGTTGTAGCTGATGTCAAACAGAGAATTGTAGAGTTAATACATTTGTTTAGATTTAATTGCACACTGAAAATGGACCGTCGCTGTTAAAGCTTGAGGAAGTAAGTGTGTCGTCTTCGTGTGTTTTTATGTAACTTGAATTCGTCATGTCGGACAGTCTCAGAGGCAGACGCGTCTCTTTACGTGTTGATAACCACTGTGTAATTATAGTAATGTTATGACTCCCCCTGTATTGCTCATATCTGCACACACATTGATGCATTCACTTGCACATGAGTAAATGATTAGAGGTATGATGCTGGAGTGAGTGAATATGGACCATACTGAGAGGTTTGGATCATGCTGTGACGGTGCACTTTAACGGTCCATCCTTCAGTACTGTGTTATTCAGCATATTCAGGTTCAGACCAGATGATGCATTCACTGTCAAAGGGATGTTAGAGCATCTCTGTTACAGGGAAGAGTCATTGTGGACGCTGATCTTCAGAGTGTGGATCTATCTTAATGTTCAAACAGTGTTCAGTGCGTGAATGTTAGACTGACTGTATAGAACCTGGAGGAGAACTCAGGGCTGACTGAAGAACGGCGCTAATATATTATTTACACACATACCTTTAAATTATTGATGAGTAGAGATGGAGGATGATTATAGTCTGTCTGTTAAAGCTGATCATGAAAGCCTCCATTATTTTAATTGATGTTTAAACTAGAACTAATGAATTATTTGAGTTTGACTGAATAAATTACTCTGAAAAATATGACTGTGGCTGTTTATTCATTTTACGCCATCAATGATGTCTGTGTCGGTTTACTTACTTCTTCTTACTTACATTTTGGTCCAAAACAAACTCTTCTAATTTCTTTTTTTAAAGCTGTAAATTATGAAGGATAAACAGTGCGAACTCTGAATTTCATTGGACTAAAGTTGTTTGTAATCAAGTTTTCAAGAAGAACTTTGTAAATGATCAAGAATTAACTCTAAAAGTCACAAGACATTTACAAGATTGACCTCTTAATTTTAGGGTAGTTAAATTTTAAATAAACCCCAAAGACTTATGAGCTATGAATGATCAAAGATAACTCAATTTAACATGAGCAAAGTTTTCAATGATCAAGGATGATGTCTTTATCTCATGGGATTAAGGCTTTAGGTTATCAAGGATGAACTCACACACAAGAGTACATTTGTATTCTTAAAAGGTCAAAGCCATAAATAGTTGTAAACATGAGTTATAAACTTTAAGAGTATAAAGTCATGTAGGTTTACTGCTTATCTTTCCCTCTAGTTCAGAGTTAAATCAAATGATTGAGTTAATGTTTAATTTTACTGTTTTTTCTTGTTATATCATGGCAAGATGGCAAGCGTCTCCTTTTTGCCCGAATATGGTCTCTTCCTTCTTCAACTCAACAAACAAACAGCAGTGCATAAACTACAGGCTGATATTAGAATACAACCATACTGGCATGTTAGATAGGTACAGGTGTATTCTTTCTCTGTATTTGAAATTTTGATCATTTAATCTTGATGTTTCCACCTTTACATGCTTTGGGCCCATAACCAGACCACTGGCTGTAAGCTTGGAAACGCTCAGTTCAAAGTATAACAGCCCGTTTTGACTTGGACTGAAAGGTAAAGTGGGCCGAGGTTTCAGGTTTTCTTACATTTGAATAATTCAAATGTCACCTGACCAAACACTCATTTGCAAGTCCAGCCTTTAGCTCTTCCAGCATGTGTGTGTGTGTTTCTCTTTCTCTGAGTGTGAACATGCTGGAGGTGTGTTGGACATGTTTGCGGACAACACCTGCAGCTGTTTCTTTAATGTCCAACTCCTTCAGCACCACCTATTTCTGTCCTTTCAATCTCCCCTTTACACATTAGTGCTTTTTCTTGAGTATTTCCCAAACATAAACTTCATCTATTGAACAAGAATGTGGAAAAAAAAACAGAACACCACTCCAAACTATATTAACTAAAAGCTTTGCATATTTTTTCCATTTTAGTCATATCTAATGAGAGAGAACTAGAGCTGTACTGGTTAAAGGATCACCTGTCACCTGAGGAGACCTGCTCAGTGAGGCCTCCTGCTGGTGAAAGGAGGACCAGCAAAAATATGTTTTTCTTACTTCATATTGTGAAATCAATAAATCTTATTTCTCCTCCAAGTTTGAGAAATTTGTTCTTTCTTTAAACAAACTTTTGATAATTCTTTGGAAGTGTTCAGAGCTCTGATCAAACCGCTTGTTTACAGCCTATTTTGGTCTCTGAGAGCCCAGCAGGACTATTTTGGGAGCCAGATCTCCAGTGTATTTGAAAAAAAAATAAATAAATAAATAAAATAACATGACGCATTTCTCCGAGTCCACAGACTTTGAAGTTAAGAGAACTGCACAGGGACCAGAGACGGAAACCCACATTTATTTTAAGAGTGAATGACTGGAAACAAATGTTCAAAAGAATCACGATTTATTGAATTTTCAGTAATCTATGGCTTAATGCACCCACAACAGTGTCATGAACAGGAGACAATCACACAGAGACATGATTTTTTCAGTCTTTAGAGTTAAATAATCAGAGTTTTAGGACGAAAGAGAAAGAAGACACAGACGTTTGAATTATGAAGTAAGGCAGAAAATAACGTTAACGCCACACGAAGACTAAAAGACGATTTATTATAAAGTTTGGAATGTTTGAACAATATCTGAGCATGTCTGTTTATCATGAGTTAATGTGCGCATGACATGAATGAACTGGGTAACTCACTCTTCATACCTCAAATATTCACATCTCATAATAATCTGTAAATATATTTCGCTTTCTTGTATATATTTAGTAAATTAGTGCTGAGAGGCAAGAGAGAAAACACAGCAGTGATCTATTTTCTCATTTATTCCCTTTATGACTCAAGAACAAGTGAGATTTTTGTTCAACTTTAGTACCTAAAGTGGGGTTATACAGGGGTACTTTCCGGGATGGCACAAACAACAGCAAAAGCTTGAGTGTGGGATGATTCACAAGAGTTTTAAGTCTGATTTTTCCTCTTTGATCTGACGACATGCAGATCATAGTTGCATCAGTGTGAATATTTATTGTCAGAAACATAAATACTGGGTTTTTGTTTATCATAGCTACAGATGTTAATGTTAACAGTAATGACATGTTTTCCTGCCTTTAGTCTTGACAGTGAAAAAAGGTCTTAATATTGATATCAGGTCATATTCAAACCCAGGGCCTTTGTATAAGGCATAGCCTCCACGTACGGAGCTAGCTGAGACTGCAAGGCCAGCGGCACTCCGATTACTCCATCTTTAAGCTAGGAAAAAAGCAACTATTGTCAAATTTATGAAAGCAGTTTGTGAAAAAACAAAACAGCCTAAAAGAAGAAAAAAAACAATGAAAGACAATTTTTAAAAATCAGGAATACTACTTAAGTTTCAGCCTCTAGTGGCTGAAATCGGTATAACACCTCATGCTTGGAAAAACAAGCCTGAAAATAACATTTACTTTTACAACTCAGACCTTTTTATTTTTTTTTAATCATAAGTAGCTTTAGCTAATGATTTTTAAAGTTTGTTATAAAGTATTACACAGCTGAGAAAATAAATTTTTGGCAATTAAAATAACATTTTGTCAGGCAAGTGTTATGATGTACTTTTCAATGCTTTGCAGGAGGAAAATAAGCGAGTTGAAAATCCTAATTCCCTCCTATTTATATCAATGCACTGATAGTTTTAGAAACTGGGAAAGAACAAAAAACAGTATTTCTTAAACTGGAGAAACAACAAACAGAAAAAAAAATGTTTATTAGATTTAGACTTTTTATTTGAGGCTCATATGTGGATTTTTTTTAACCATCTTACAGGTAAGACATGTAAGTGGTGAAACACTAACTGATTCAGAGGAAAAAAAGGATCTCCAGCCACAGAGAAACAAGAGAATTGAAGTTTGAGACGGGAATATCGTCAGGTACATTGAACATGTTTTCTCCTTTCTTACTTTAGTAAAAGACTAGATTAATGTTCTTCCACCAAAATTAAAAGTAGTGATCAGCTCTTCAGTCATAAACACAGCAAACATGCTTCCTTGTTTCTCTCTTGCCTCTCATGGTTTTTTTAATTTTACTTAAGATCTGCTGTGTCATTAAAAGTAAGTAGCAGCACTCTTATAAAAAGAGAAAAGTGTGATATCTGTTGTGTTTTTTTTAGCTTGAAATGGCTCTATGTACCAAACTGGGACAAAGATGAGATTATTTTTGGACAGAATTCTTCAGTAAAACGTTGCATGATCTCACTGCAGCCACAGTGTGTCCGGCTGCAGCTGAGAAAAAGAGACCTGACTTTCTTCATGTGCGGTACTTGGCATGTTTTTTTCAATTTAGTTCTGAGACATCTTGCGGATCATATAGTTAAGGATTCCTCCGTGATGGAAGTACGCCAGCTCCACGTCAGTGTCGAATCTCATCCTCACCTGGAATGTTTTCCCCGTATCGAGCTGTGAGAGCAGAGGGGGAAACCTTCAGAGTTCAAATCATGTCAGATCAATAAAACAGTCTTTAACGGTCTTTAACAAACCTTGACGTCTACAGTCATCCGTGGCGTAAGCTGCTCGGGGATGATGACAGTGTAGCGCTCTCGGCCCGTCAGTCCCAAACTGTCAGCAGTGTCTCCGGGTAAATACTCCAGAGGAATCACCCCCATCCCCACCAGGTTACTGCGATGGATCCGCTCATAGCTCTCTGCTATCACTGCCTTGATGCCCTAAAAACAGAAGCGGACAGCTCACATTTCTGCACACACCCTCAGTCCAGCTTCATAGCATCTATAAGTATAATGATGGGTTTTTTTATACCGGTCACCAGTAAAGGCTAAAACATACAGGATCCATATTGAGCGTGTAACGTCAGCATCACGTATCACGCAGCAAATAGATTGCCATTCTAACCAATGAAGTATCGCATATAACAGTGTTTCTCAAGTCCAGTCCTCGAGGCCCACTGTCCTGCATGTTTTGGATGTTTCCCTGCTCCAACACACCTGATTCAAATAATCAGCTCGTTATCAAGCTCTGTAGTGGCTCAATAACGAGCTGATCATTTGAATCAGGTGTGTGTGTGCTCTGTTGCAGCTCTGTATCAGAAATGCATCGTGCTCCTGCTCTACGCTTCCAACATGCCTGACCCCAAAAACCAAAACTCCTGTATGTTTTCGGCTTAAGAGTCTCCTCACCAGTAGAAATGGACCCTTTGCTGCCCAGTCCCTGGAGCTGCCTGATCCGTACTCTTTCCCTGCAAGAACCACTAAAGGGACTCCAGACTGCTGATACCGCTCTGCAGCGTCAAACACGTCCATCTGCAACAAGACACGTGTAAGAAAGTTAGTAAATATCAAACACTTGAAGAGAAAGCAGCGAGGCCTCAGAGGGGCTCGGCACACTGACCGTCTCTCCGGTGGGCAGGTGGATGGTCTGAGGCGCCTGTTTGTTCAGGAACTTGTTAAACAGGCGGATGTTTGCGAACGTCCCTCTGGCCATGATGGCGTCGTTTCCTCGTCGTGAGCCGTATGAGTTGTAGTCTCGAGGGCTCAATCTGTCAAAACATGACAGTTTGATTCGTGTTATTTTCAGCTGCTTGTACAGCTTCACTGTGTTGACTCAGAAAATTTAAAAACTCATATCAGACCAGAGGGAAATTCAACCACAGATACTGTAATATCCTATAAACAGCCATGATAATTAGATTCATGTAAATCAGGCTGCACTGGAGGTGAAAAGAGAAACTAAAATACTGACAGAGAAGTCTTGTTTAAATCTGTTTCAAATGATCTAAGCCTGTCTGGTTGGTGCTTTTCCATTTAAAACAGAAAAGTCTACATGAAATACTGCATTATCACCCTCTGCTGGTGAGGTAGCGTGCTGCAGCACTGCTCCTGGCGATGTTTCCTGCTGGTGAGATGTGGTCTGTGGTGACCGAGTCTCCCAGGTTCAGCAGCACGTGAGCGTTTGTTATGGATCTGGGAGGATGAAGCTGCATGGTCTGAAAAAAATAAAAGATAATGTGATATAGAGACGGTGAAGTCAGAAACAGTTCTGTGACGACATGAGCCGAGAGTCTGTTTCTCTTTTCTCATCTGGCTGTGACACAAGTGTGATTCATTTTTAAATATATGAGGATGCGTTCAGATGTATGTCTTTACCAAACCATCAAAGAAGGGCGGAGACTTGATGTAGGTGGATTCTGAATCCCAGGTGTAGAGCTTATCAGAGGGAGCCACCAGAGAGTTCCAGCGTTCGTTCACTTTCTGCAGCATGACAGAAAGAGACGGTTGTGTGAATGTTTTTGTCACCATGACGTCAGAAAGCTTTTTTTTTTCAAAGTGAGTGCGGGTTTCATCACCTCAATCTTCTCATAGACTTCTTTAAACATGGATGGGATGACGAACGTCCTCTCCACGGCCTGGATCTCCTCTCTTGTGGGCCAGATGTCCCTCAGGAAAATCTCTCTACCCTCAGAGTTAACGGCTGCAGAACGGACACAATTAAAATTTTAATTCAACCTGTGAGTTCATCGTCTTTCCATCTGTGTCTAACCACTCACCAATAGGCTCTTTCTCAAAGTCTATCCTCACGGTGCCGGCGATGGCGTAGGCGATGACGAGCGGCGGAGAGGCCAGGTAGTTCGCTCTGGTGTTTGGATGAACTCTGCCTTCAAAGTTTCTGTTTCCTGAGAGGATGCCCGCTGCAACCAGATCCCCCTGAAACACACACATACATAGAGACACCTTAAAGTAGACAGGAAATGACCGGTTATCACTAGTTTTTAAAGCTTCTGATGGAAGGGTGGAGAAATTTAAAGACAGAGCACGAGCAAACGAAGAAAAAGAGGAACGGAAGTTTGAGTGACCAAATAAAGAGAGGAATACTGTGATGAAGGTGTGAAAAGCTGATTAGTACCTGTGTTATCGCCTCCACCACCGGCTCTGGAAGCGGTCCGCTGTTTCCTATACACGTCATGCAACCATAGCCGACCACCTCAAAGCTACAAGGGAAGACAAAAAGGTTAAAGGTCTTAACATCATGTGACTTAAATTGAGCCAAATCAACATTTTCTCAAGAATTGTAAAAAACTCATCAGCTAAGATTTGAATTTTTTTAATGCAGCTTTTAAATATCAAGTTTTTACTGTTTGAATTTGATCAGACTGTAAAAATACAGTCCCATCAGCCCTCATGAGTCAGACTGACTTTACAAACAAGGGTTAGTCTTTCAACTCTGTTAAATCATGATTTAATGGTTTAAAATAGCTTTAAAAAATATTTAGACCCTTAATTTTAGTTCTTACTCTAAAAACAAATTAAATTTATTCTGTTAATGAACAAAAATTCCAAATAAATGATCCAAACAAACTCCTCTAATGTTTCTCTGTGACCCAGTTTCAAATAAAAGCCACTAGTGTACATGTTAGGAGGTGTTATTTTAAAAACAGGCTACGTTTTTTTAATATTTGGTGATTTTCAGATCACTTTAAAGTTTTTGCTATTAAAGTAAATGATCAGGATTATTCAGTTTTAACATTTTTCTAAGCTAAGGGTTGCAGCAGTCTCCTATTTCAGTACAGTGTTATGAGAACATGCAGCAGAGATCACATGACCACCATGAGGTCTGAATGGTTAGGAGGCTCAATGAGGTGTTTGTGTTGGGTTTGAATATCTAAAGAATCGGTTTATTAGTGTACCAGGATGCAGTGACAAGCTAAGTCCAGCAGATGTCGCCTTTTTTCCTGACTTCAGAAAAATTAGTCGTTTTTAAAGTTTTTACACAGGAGCCTTTTCTTCTTATCTGTGTCATTCCTTTCCTTGCCTCCTTTCCTTCTTTCCTCAGCTGAGTAAGGAGTAAATGGCCTCATTTTAAAGCTTTTTCTTTTTATAAAATATAAAGAGTGACACAGCTGCATTTTAAATACAACTGCTGCATGTCATGATCTGCTCACTCAGCACACACCTTCACCTTCCTTGTTCGATCTCGTGACAACAGGATGCTGAAATATGTGCCATGATCACAAAGAAAACTCCACCTGACTGCCTGAATCATCGGTTTGTGCAGCTTACCCCAGTTTGGAAAGGTAGTCCATGACCCCGCTCTCCTTCAGGTAGTAGGTGACCACTCCGCTGCCTGGCGACAGACTCGTCTTTATGTACGGCTTCACGCTCAAACCGCACTCTATCGCCTTCTTTGCGAGGAGTCCTGGAGAGGGAGAGAATCGATCTTTAATAACTCTTTAATAAATGTGACGATGTCTGAACTTATACTTCGACACAAACGTCTCCATGTTTTCTTCCTCACAGCTGTTTTAGAATTTCTCACATCAGAAAAGATCGATCATGGTCTCATGAGTTTGTAGCACACCCACCTGCTCCGAGCATGACAGAGGGGTTGCTGGTGTTGGTGCAGCTGGTGATAGCAGCGATGACCACAGAGCCGTGACTTAATGTGAACTCTTTTCCATTAAACTGGAAAGGAAATGAAGCGCTGTGATGCTCCGGGGCCACCTGGAAACCTTTGAAACCCGTCTGAAAAATCACAGAGGAATGAGAAAGACCTGTGGTGTGAAGTCAGCCGGAGACGAATCATCGGCACATGTTCAGGTAGGAAGCATCTTCTCTCACCCAAAATCCACTTTTACGACTATATAATATAAGTCTTATGTTTCCTGTCTTTAAGTCTATAAGGGTTCAGAGCACGCTAAATGACACCGCCGATAAGTCATTGATTAATCAGCTGATTCTTGACACGACTAGGTACAAGATGTTGGTTTCTTTCTTAATAATTGGCATTTATTCTTGATTGACAAAAACCTGCTCATGAGAAATAGATCTCTCAGTCTTTATTCTTTACCTTGGATCCCAGACAGGTTTCAAAGTCTTTCTTCATGTCGGACACAGGGATCCGGTCCTGAGGTCTTTTGGGACCACTGCAGCACGGGACAACGGTACTGAGATCCAGCTCCACAACCTGTGAGAGAAGGTAGGAGCAGTTCAGTTTAATCTTTGCACTTTCCAGGATTAGTTTGTAATGTAGGGGTAGAAGTCTGACATCTGACACAGATTGTGCAGAGGGTACTCTTCTCGTAACCTGACCATTGAATGGTACTCTTGACATCAGTAAATTCATACAGCGGTATAAACTGAGACTGACCTGAGTGAAATCTGGATCCTGAGAGACATTGTTGTAGTCTCTGAACATTGATACCGCCTTCAAATACTTTGTGATGTAGGCCAGCTTCTCTTCCTCTCGACCTGGAAACAAACCAAACGAAAATAACATGAACTTTCTGTGATGAATCAGAGGAGGTACTCGAATGAGTTTGATCAGGGCTCACCGGTCTGCTCGAGGTACTGAATGCTGACGTTGTCCACGGGGAAGAAAGCTGCCGTGGCTCCGTACTCTGGACACATGTTGGCGATGGTGGCTCGGTCAGCGATGGACAGCTGAGCGACACCCGGGCCGAAAAACTCCACAAACTTCCCCACCACGCCCACCTGACGGAGGTGCTGAAAGAAGAGCAAGAAGAAGGATACGTTACCTCACAAAATTGAAATTCTTATGGTTTATATATTTGTGATTATGACAGTAGATCAGATTATACTCACCTTGGTGACTGTGAGGACGATGTCAGTGGAGGTAATGAACTTATCAGGGGTCCCACTCAGCTTGTACCCCACCACCTCAGGAAGTACCATACTAATCGGCTGACCCAGCATCACAGCCTCCGCCTCAATCCCACCGACACCTGCAGGTTCAAACCACAAACTTCAATCAAAACTTTACACTTCATTTAAACATCAATTCTTATCAACAAGAGCTGAGCCTGAGTATAAGACCGGACTTTGTCTTTCTTACCCCATCCCAGGACCCCCAGTCCATCAATCATCGTGGTGTGAGAGTCCGTGCCCACCAGGCTATCAGGGTAGAAGTACCCTTCATGGTTAAAGACCACTCTGGCTAAGTACTCCAAGTTGACCTGGTGAACGATCCCTGAACCAGGAGGAATGATTCGCATGTTTCTGAACGCCTTTGAGCCCCACTAAGAAGAGAAGAAAACAAAATTCTGGTTAAGATCTCTTCAGCTGGCAGATATCTAAACCTCACACTTGGTTTTTGTTTTGAATTTTCACCTTTAAGAACTGAAATCTTTCTCTGTTTCTGTCAAACTCCAAGTCCTGGTTCTTCTGAAGGCTGTCAGACCTGAAGGGGGAAAAAAACGGTGCATTTCAGTCACTGAACATCTAAGCGAAGTGAGCTGCTGCAGCTACATGGAGAATATAACAGGGTCTAAGAGCAGAGCTTCCTAAACCTGGTCCTACTTTCTGTTGAAGTCCACTTGGATGGAGTGATCGATGACAAGATCAGCAGGACAAACAGGGTTAATCTTCTCTGGGTCACCGCCGAGATTCATCACCGCATCACGCATAGCAGCAAAGTCCACCACAGCGGGGACGCCACTGCAAGGACACACTCACAACCATCAGCACAATTTAAGAAGACTTCTGGTGTCATTAAAAACCTTCAGACATTCACTATCTTTGGTTGAAATGACCTATTGGACCCAAAGGTTTCTAACTGGATTTATTAGTATCTGCAAAAGAGGCTGAAAGGCTTCAGTTGACCTCCTGTGTTTGGAGCTTCTGAATTCATCACAGAATGGATCTCTATGGAAATAGATCCTTTTGTTTGAGGAGAGGGTTTTTTTTTTTTAGCATAAACAGTCATTAAACTTTTTTCTTTAAAGCCACCTTGCTCAAGTTAAGCTCACAGTAATTTTAACCTGCAATATGTGTTAGTCTGTTTGCATGATCACATTGCTCTCGTGGCACGGGATAACTCTGAAAACGTTGGTGGTATAGTAAGACCAGAAACATCTACTTTATGCGGGGTAAAATTACAGTTTTTCCTCTGAATTCTGGTGGTTTTTAAAGGACCATGTGTTGGTTTCTGTTTTGGAAAAAGGCTTATAGTAAAGGCTGTCACAGCGAGGGAAGTTCCCCTGCAGTAATTCATGGTTGCTCAATGTCACAGCCTCTTAGGGCTGGGTGATATGACCTCATATCAATATCACGATATATTGAGCAGTTCACCTCGCTCACCCCCTCCCACATTAACTTCGTCTACTTCAGCCGCCGCTACAACTTTTGAACCGTCCTCCATCTCCTCATCTGTCTTTCCCTCTGTTACAGACTAGGTGGGGTGGAGTCACGTCTCCGATGTAGGACAGCGTCTTGAAAGGACATAAGACCATAGCCTACCTACACACATCCAAAACCAACTTTTATTTATTTTTTTGACAGAGAATATATTGACATGGGCTAAATGGCGTCAGTTGTTGTAAATTTCGTAAATTTCGGTATCGGTAAATTTTCAATTTATCACCCAGCCCTACAGCCTCTTATCTGTTAGTTATTGGTAGCTGTTCATTCAATAATACTCCTGTTTTATTTTTAAGTTAACATCTGAGTGTAACAGTAGCAAACGAGAATGCATTAAGGATGACACAGCAGTCACTGCAACCTGTTTTATGGTTTTACACTCCATTTGTTTATATGACACTGGAGAAAACCAAATTATTGCCTTACTCTGATTAAGAGCAGACAACTGAAGTGCATGTAAACACCTCAGTCCGACTATAATCGGAGCTTGAGAACTCCGATTGGAGTGGGAGAACTCTGGCTAAGACACCCAGATAATGCGATTGGAATTCAATTTTCTCTACCATGTAAGCAGCGTAGTCAGAGTATGATTGGACAATGCATGTGCGTGTGCGCCACGCCCCCGTAACCCCGGAACAGAAACGCAAGAGAAGAGGAATAGCATGCACCTCATCTGCAAAAAAAAGTAGTGCGTACATTATGTACGACAAAAACAACACTGTACGATGCTCCATCTTCTTGCTCGAAAAAAGCCCAGCAGCAGTTGTTGCCACTTCTGACGTCTGGCACAGACCCGCTGTTGTTGTTGGGTCAACTGGAAAACAGCGCCGCTGAAAAGACCCATATCGCCCCTTAGTTTTGTGGAGGAGGACACGTTCACATCAATAATTAGATTTTCTTAGCTGCATGTACACGCGGACAAGGAGAAAAGAAAAAACGATTTATGAACTTAGTCCGATCAAGCTGTGCATGTAAACGCACTGAACTGAAGCAATCTACCAGAGCAACTCCAAAACTTTGTGATTTTGTCCCCCAAAATATGACAAAGTGCTGAGGTTATAAAAACATGTTTCTCCGACAGTGTTCACTTTGCAACAGAAGCATCTGTTCTGAGTCTGCAGCTTTCATAAGAAAACTCCCCTCAGGGTTTTTCAAACTCAGTCCAGCTCCCCCACAGTCATGGAAAACTTTTTCAAGCTGAATTTGACCTTTTAGATAAAATTGAGTATTAAGCTCCTCTGAAGCATAAAGTTCTGTTAGCAGTAAATGATATTTCAAAATGTTACCAAACTACAGAGCAACAAAACTGAATTCAAATGGAAATAAATACAGTATCCACATACGTGAAGTCCTGCAGGATCACTCGAGCTGGTCTAAACGGGACCTCCACAGTCTGAGTCTGAGTCTCCTTCCAGTTTAGGATCCTCTCCACATCTGAGCTCTTCACTAAAAACTCATCACAGTTCCTGACGGCTGACTCCAGGAGGACACGGATGGAGAAAGGCAGACGGTCTGAAGAACAGATGTAAAATTCGGTGAATGCCTTTTGAAGATAAAACAAACTTTTCATTTACTTTGACAGTGACAAGGAGGTGTTACCATATCTGGGATCTCCAAGTTTGGAAAGATTGTAAAACTGCTGGTTTGGTCTGTCTGGGTCCAGAGACTCAACTATATGCTGGAAAGGATTCTTCACAGTGGCAGACATCCTCCTCTTTGTGTCAGTATTTCTCTGATAAAAGAAAAAGAAGAAATGCAAACATGAAACAGTCTGCCTTACATGAGACAGGTGTAACCTAGGTGAAAAACAAAAAAGAAAAATTCATGTCAAAATAAAAATGCAATTTAAAATGTGCGCCATGCTACCAAAGAAAGACAAGTGATCAACAAATTGATTATTTTATTATTCCAGATCTATTTTATCACAGTGTCTTTCCTTAATTTTAAATCAAAATCATATAGAATTAACAATTTCTCACACACGTTACACAGGACAATAAAACGTTTTCATCACTGATTGTCAAAGCTGATGGTTTGTGTCAGACCTTTTAAAAATGCAGAATGGTGTTCCACAAGGCTCAATACTGGGTCCTCCCTTTGTTTATAATCTCTATCAATCTTTGTGTGCAGATTTATCGTGATAAAATTTCTTTATTATGCAGATGACAACATTATGTTCATGGCTAACTAATGTATTCTTAAGTTCAGGAACAAACTAAAGACTTTTTTCATGTCTTTTTAAACATTTTAAAAAATGTTGGGCTTTTGTTTTTTTTTTACCATTTTGGTACTTGTGTCTCTCACCTTTTTATATTATCTTTAAATATCGCACAAAAAGGATTAAATTTAATTATTCTTTCTAAAGAATATTTTTCAGTGATGTTCTTATTGGCTTTTTGGCCTCCAACCCCAATCTCATATTAAATATTAAGTGTTTCCCAATAAAAAAATTAAAGCTGACTACTGTTCTTGTATGCAAAAATAATGAAACATTAAAGATATAGCTTGTTTAGCTTGTTTCTGGCAAGGCAGCGTCTCCAATCCTAATATTTGGCCAGTTTCAAATGAAATTTGTCACCCTAAATCCATTTGGGAAGAAAGTCCACATCAGCATACATTAATTCCAAAACTTTTTTAAGCTCAGACAATTAATTTCTCCCCTGCACACCTGACCCAGAGAGTGACTTCTTACTCTTTACACCTGAGCTCCATATGAGCATTGGCAGCCACACTTTGAGATAAATCTGGATATCTTCAATATGAATATATATATATTTTGTATTATAAACAAGCTGCCTTATCTATATCTATCTATTGTCTTATAATGTTGAAAGCATTATGGTAAGTCTCTACACTACATTTCATATCATTGCATCTTGCAGCCTTATCTAACTGTATTATACAACCAAAGCACTTCTGAGAAGTGCATTGTCTTTTTATGGTTTTCCTATAACATCTGCCCTTATTTTCATTTTCCTCTGACTGCAAACTCTTTCAGCTGCAACCTTCAGTCACACATGTTGGTCCCAACCTCTTATCTTTTAGGTAAAAGTGCTTTTAAAGTTATAGCTTCTTTATAGAGTCCATTCAGACTGTTTATAAGCGCTGAAGATTATAAACAGGATTAAGGATTATTCCACCTCTGAATGCACATGCTCTGTTGCAGAAAAATGCTTAGTCATTGCTTCTTCTCTCACATGCATTTTTTTCCCTCAGCTCTTTTGGCTGCGATGGGGTGGTGAGGGACTTTTTTTTTCCTGGTGAAATAAAGCTAAAGGAATGCTAAAGTCTCTTGAATGTTTCTCTGACCTAAAAACACATTCGCTGCACATGTGTAGCAGATAAAATCAAACAGAGCTGTGGTGCCTGTTTACAGAGTGCAGAAAGATTTAATTAAAGTCTGGTTTAAAAACAAGGAGACTTGCCACTGTCCATGTGGAGATACATTAACCTTTATGGTTCAGGTCCACGTGGGCTGCTAGTCCTGGGGGTTAGTGAACCATTGCCCCACGTTTTACAAACCTTACATAACTAAAAACACTGAGGCAATCGAACAAAACTTTTAACTAACAGAAAATCCCATGCAGCTCAACCTTCAACAGTTTGTTTTAAAGTTAACACAGAGTGACTTCTGCAGATTGAGATCTAATGAAGTCTGTTTCCTCGAGAGGCGTTAACTGTGTGAAAGGTGAGGAGATAAAAAAAGAGCACTTGACAAGGAAAACACATCCTGAATGTCCACATACTTGGCAGGTTGGTTCAGGGGCAGGCTGAAGCTTGGCTGCAGAGTGCAAAGTCAGACTGTGATACTCACATTACTACGAAGTGATGTAACACACTCACACAGCAAACAGCACCTTTGATTTACTTTTAAGACATGTGCAGATTTGAGAAGGGAGGAAAACACCATGATATTCTGCTCAGCGTTAGCTCGTAGGCCCACAGCCAATAAGTATCTTTTGTTTCGTAAGTTATTAGAAAAGTTGCTCAAGGGGTTACTAACAGTCTGCACATGTTTTTATTTCATATACTCAAAGCTCACTTTATCAGACTGTGACGGGAAAAAGCTTGTCCTTTTTTATAATTAAAAATAAAGCTAAAAATTTCTGATCAGATAATGATAGTTCTATTAGGGTGGTATTAATAAAAATAAATACATTTCATTATACTGTTGCAAATGACAAAAATAATAACTTTAACAGAAAAGACTTTCTTTTGTTTGGTATTCATCTCTCTGTTTTCACCATATTGTTTTTGCATTTTTCTTTTTACACTTTCTTTACTTTTGTCGGAAAAATAGCAAATAGTTAAGCCGATTATTGCAGTAATCATTTTAACAGACTAACACTGTGTTAAAATCTTTGGTTTGCTTTGGCTTGTTTCCAACCTTGATTTAATGTTACCCTGTACAATAAATTTGACCATCAGATGCAAATGTAAAATAGTCTATCATGACTAATGTTAACAGAGTAAGCTCTATTTTATCTGCATGAAATTTAATAACAATTAATAAATGTACAACCACAGATATCTACCTTTTAAGTGCATTTTGTATTTTCGGATAATCCGGTATTATGAATAAATGACCGCGACATTATCGTAAAGGCTCACATATCGTGAGTCACCGATACACAAAGCTCTGAAGGCTTTCTTTCAGATATATTTTCAATAGTTTTAAGAAACTTAAAAGTGGGTTTTGTGGATTTATGGAGTTGAATCAGAGAAAATCTGTTTGGGTTCATTACTATATTACTGTATTATTATGGGTGTAAAGCCGATAGAAACCCCCTGGATGTCCTTCTTTACTCAGTCAGTGTTATTTTCCAAACAAAAGTCCTTAGATATAACTAAAATTCGTGTTGATAAACCGCAGAGATAATCCTTCTCCTTCGCATTTTCTTATTTTTAATGCTGAATCTCAAACCCGATGACCTGAATTGGCCTCTCTGACGTGAGTTAGCATTAGCTAACCTGTTCTAACTTCAGCTTTAACAGATCAGTACAGTTTTTATCTACATATACAAATGAAAGGGAACAGGCTAAGACAAACAAACCCTACTGGAAATATAATATTTAACATTATTATCAGAAGGGTTGGAGGTTTAACGGCGTTAAGGCGAGAGTCGGAGTGAGCTAGCATAAAGCCGGGCAGTCTGACAGCAGAGAGAGGTCCTGCTCCGTCAGCTAACTTCATCATGTTTCGGTAAGAACGGGAATAAAACAGACGGTTTGATATAAGCGTGTTTTAATGACTTACTTCAGTGTGCAGCAGAGGAGAGACACCGCAGAGCTCCGCCGTGTGTTATCGACACACTGTCAGCCGCTAATCTCACACAGCGCTCTGCTGCAGCTCCACAAAACTTCCGCGTACTGCAGAAACAACACTCACACTTCCGGTTTGTATCCACAATAAAAGCACACGATATCCGAGTGAGCGCAATAAAATAAAATTTAAACAAATAGTTATATAAATGTATGAAATAAATAAATAAATAAATAAAAACATTAGATACATTAAATAAAAATTTCTCTTGCAAAAGAGACAAGAGTTTGAAATATCGTGAAAAAATTAGACTAAAATAGCACAGAAAGTAAATTAGTTAGATTTAAAATAATTTATTTCAAGATGTAAAAAAGGCAAAACTTCAGATATTGTTCACTCGAAAAGGAAATGCACAATTTTTTACATTACTTTTGCAGTATGTCATCTAACATATATTTTTTTTTCCATGCTGAATTTTCAATTTTTTAATTTGAGGTTTAGAATCTGAAAATATCATGAACAGATTTAAAAGAGAATTATTTAGAGCCATATTAATACAAGGTAAAATAACATAAATTGAAATAAAAAAATAACAAATTAATAAGACAAACTAAACTGTCTTCTTTGGGTTATTGTTTTTTTTTAAATAAACTTCAGTTATTAAGATTTTTGTAATCATGTATGACACTTCATGGTCCGAACAGCTAATAAACTTGTGACAAAACCTGAGAAAGAGAAGGGCTCAGCACTTCTTCCATTTATTTCATTATTGTACAGATGGACTGGGTATAAAGTCAAAATACTACATATATAAAACAAACTGACATCTGATTTTATTGCTTTAGCTCACATGTATTGAAAAGGTTTTATTCCCAGTTGCCTAAATTGAACTGCGTCTCCGTTTTGTTTTGTTTTTGTTTTTGTTTTTGTTTTTTCTTTGAAGGCAATTTAGTGTCTTAAATAGCCCTTTTTGTGATCAAGCAATTATGATATTTAACTCCAAGCATCCCTATCAAACAAACAACCAAACAAACAAACAAAAAATACGTAGATAAGCCTTTTCTCCTGGGCATAATGCGTTTTGTACTCTGGATTTTGAGTGTCCGTATGCAGTTAATGTAGAGGACCACTAGATAGCAGTGCTGCTGCAGATATCAGAGCTGCTGCCAGTTGCACCAGTTTGACAGCTCCTAAAGTAAGAAGCTGCGGAGTTCTGACCTTTGACCAGATGGTGCTGCTGAGAGAAGGTCCCAAAGGGAGTTCACATGTCAAGCATCAGTTCAATATCTTTGTTAGACTGCAGCACAAGTGTTTTATAGAGTTTTGTTCTGTTCAGTTCTTGAAATACTCTTTTGAACTTGACTGGATTTGTCTAAGTATGTCATATTGTGACTTGTGTATATATATGTAGTTCTGTACAGGTTTGGGATCTGTGAGACAACATTTAGAGTCTGTGAGACAACATTCAGAGTCTTCCCTCTTTCTTGCAGGAATAGACTTCCCATGTGCATGTGTCCCCAGCTGGAAATGTAGTTGTAGATCAATAGTTTCCATGCATGTGCACTTTATATAAGCAAGCAGACTTCAATAGCCCCTGTTATAAGTAATTTACAGGTTATTTTAGCACATTAGGCAGTTCTAGATCTAAAAATGTGCTGGAATCTTGTTCAAAATGACAACAGATATTTGCAACTATTATCTAAAGTATCTTTACTGTGTTTTTCTTTATATCTGTGTTATTCTTGCATGTCTTAAATAAAGGTTGGTCTGCATATTTAATGATCTGAACTCATTGCCTTCAGTGTCCTCTGTGTCCTCTGTGGGTTAATGTCACAGTCACTGCAGACAGGAAGGTGACAGTGTGACTGACAGCTCAGTCTGTTCCCGTGACTGAGACATTTTTCCATTGAGCTGCTCAGTCTGCCCCTGACAATGTACAGACCCCCCCACACGCACACACACAATCACACACACTTACACACAAACACAGTGTCCATGACTTCAGAGGGGGCTCGGTTCAGACAGCACACTCTGATTGGCTGTTTGAGGATTGTGGGTGTGGTTAAAGGAAGATCAGTATATTCTGATCAGTTTTTTTTTAACACCCAAAGATGAGGCCTCTTCAGTCTTTCAAGCATCTCTCCCCCGTGGTTGTCTGATACACGCCTAGAACCTAAGCTGTTCTTCACATGCTCCCTCTTCAGCCTCACTGTCGTTAAAAAAGCGTCTCATTATCTGCACATGCAATCCTCTATAGAGATATTTTTGCTTTATTAAGGGGGAGAAATCTTATTAGGGGAGAGTAAAAATACTGTGGGGACATTATTATAAATTAACAAGAATTCAGTCTTCATTATATGAGAGTAAAGTGGTAATACTACAAGAGTACCTTTAGAATACAATGGGATTAAAGTTTTGGTAAATTGAGAGAATAAAGTCATAAAAGTTGTAAATCTACAGGAATAAAGTCACAATTTTATTTAAAAAACAAGCCATATCAGGAAACAAATCTGTCACTGAAGGAGAATAAAGTTGCAATTTATGAGGAAAATAAGGTCATAATGTGTCAAAACAATACAAGAATAAAACTGAAATGTACATACAGAATAAGTCATGCATTTACAAGAGTAAAGTCATGAGCAAAGTTTTGAATTCAGTAAACCAAGCCCGCAAGTCTACTCTATGTTGTATTGAGTCTCTGAAGGCAAAACACATAAATGGTTTTATTCCTCAATCTGTCGGAAACCAAACCCTTAAAATGTAATAACTTAGAGTCTCCAGGTAAAAACAATCTTTCATAAGGAGCTTTTTATTTTTTCCCCAGGTTCTGGGTGATAAATCCAGTCATGACAGGCACTTATTTAAGTTTGAAGAGCAAACCAACCCCATCACTAAAATATTTAAGGCGCTAATCTAAACTAAGACTGCAATCGTGCTGGGCTGAAACAAGTGTGACTCAGGGGAATAAAAATATCACCTGCTGCAAGTAGCTTTCTGCTAAACTGTGACCTTTACCAAGAGGATGTCAGGTACAATGTCTGTCAGTGACCAAAAAGGACTAAAGCGTGTTTATGTAACAGTCGGACCGTCAGGAGTCCAGTGTGGTCTTACATTTCATCATTTCATGCAGAAACCTTCCTTTATGAGGCCCCTCTGTGAGTGTGTGTCTGCAGGCAGAGTGAATAATTGTGGAGCTGGTATGACGTCAAGCCTCCATCTGAGTCAGTGTGTGTTTGACTGAGAGCTGAAATATCCCAGGATGCTCTGCTGCCTCTGATCTGATGATATGTCAGGAAACTGCTGGTGTCAAACAAAATATTTAGGAGTCAAGGTTTCAATGAGCCAGAAAAATGATGACCTGATGAAACTCAGACATAAAAAAGTACTGCAACACTGTGTTCAGAAGGGTTACTAAACTGTAGACCAGGACTCAGCATGAGACAAAACTTGAACTCCAACTCAGGTTGACACCTTGACAAAGAATTAAATTTGAATAATTAGGAGTTGGCTCCGACTTAGGTAGCTGGGACTTAGACTCAAACTTGACTAGGATAGTAGGGAATTGACTTGGCTTGACTCAGATCAGAAGGATTTCACTTAGACTTGGAAACTAGAGACTCAAAATAAGTCAGGAAACAGGTGCCTCACTCAGACCAGGACTTGGACTTGGACTTCAGTTTTGGTAACTCAAGTTGAATTCAGCTGATGAGGACTTGATTCAGACTTGAATGGGAAAAGTGGGACTTGACCTGAACTCAATTCAGATGATAGGGACTCAAGTCAGCTGACGGGGACTTTGACTCAGATTCATTCAGGTAACGGAAACATGCCTCAATCAGGACTTCAACACAGATTTTGCAATGGGGACTCAACCCTTACTTGGATAACAGTTGTTTGACTTAGATTTGGATTTTGAAGGGAGGCTCAAACTCATAGATTTCTTAATTATGGAAATCTATTCAGATTTGAAAAATTGGGACTTGACTAACTTTGATACCGCTGACTAAAATCTGATCTGACTGGATTATATGGAGCTCACCTTAGACCAAGATGATGGGGACTCAAACACTGATTTAGCCTGTCAACAAGTAACTGACTTGAAGCTGGATTAAGATTTAGACTTGGGTTATGGGATTCTGACTCAGATTATGGTAATGGAGACTTGATTTAGACTCAGTCATGTTACAAGGACTTGACTGTGATCATTGTCACTGAACTCTGACTGGTTTTAAGACGAGTCTGACTTAAACAATAATGACTTGATTCAAATTCAACTCAGATAGACTTGACTTGGACTCAGATGATGGTGACCTAAATTCAGTCAGGTAATTGGTATCTGACTTGAACAAGGACACAGTTTTAAAGTTGGGTTATGAGGACCTGATTTGGATTAAGGGGTACTATTTAGACTTGACTTGGTTGACTAAACTTGGGGACTAAACTAAGACTCAACTCAGATAATAGGGGCCTGAATTTAGACTCAGGTTATGAGTGCTTGATTTAAACTTGAATGGGATAACAGGGACTTGACACACACTCACTCATGTAAAGGGGACTTGCCTGAAACCTGGCTCTGACAGTTGGGACACTATTTGGACTGGGAAACTAGGGACTTGACTTGGACTCGGTTGATGTGTACTAGGTTCAGATTTAGAGGGACTTGACTGAACTAATGGGAGCTGGACTCAGACTTTGCTGTTGACTTTGACTTGGCTCAGAATATTCTCGTTGATTTGGACTCAGTCTGGGCTTAAACACTTAATTGTCAGGGCTTGACTTGGACTTAAGTTCCAGTGACTTGACTTGAAGTCTTGAGTCAGTATAAGAAACTGTTGTATTGATTTTCACAGTTTTCTGAACTCCTGTTACATGTTTTGCAGTTAAAGAGGGAAGAGTACATGGAGTAGATGTAATCACAGAGCAGTAATACACACAATCAGAGGAGTAAGTTTAAGATGAAGGACTGAATATTTCCACTGACTCCCTGTTTGATGATTTGCAGAGCATGTATCTGAAACAGTTCACTCACAAAGCAGCAGAAAGAGAGCGGTGAGCTGTTGTTCTTCCCTCAGGGCGGCTGCAGTCCTAATACTGAAGTTTTTCACCCAGCTGTGATGTTCTCTGACAGGTAA